GCCTAATATGACCAGTTTAATTAATAGATATAATAAGAGAAAAATTAAAGACAAACCACACACTGTCCCCCCTAAGTGTAATTGTAGGAATAAGGAAGCCTGCCCCCTCCAGGGCAAATGCCAGCAGGAGGGCGTGGTTTACCAAGTAAAAATATATAAGGATAAACCGAATAACACCGATAAAAATCCTAAGGTTTACATAGGATCTACCCAGAATAATTTCAAAACACAATACTATAACCATCTTAGTAGTTTCAATAGTGAAACTTACAAACACAGTACCACCTTGTCCTCTTATGTATGAAAGGTTAAACAAGAGGATAATAAAGACCCCATTTTGAAATGGGAAATATTAAAAAAAAATTTCACAGGTATAAAGCAGGTGATAAGTTTTGTTCCCTATGCACGGAGGAAAAGTTACCTATTGCTAGCTATAAAGAACTCAATTTATTAAATCTGAAATTGGAAATTCTTAGTAGGTGTAGACATAGGAATCGCTGGTTATTAGTATAGGTTTTTTTTTTTCTTTGTTGTTGAATAAAGAACGTAGCCCCTAACCCCCCCGTTGTTGAGTGTTTACTGGTTTTACTTTTTTTTTTGGTCACATGGTCATGGTTGTTTTTGGTTTAAGCTATATATTCTGTTCCATTTTTATCTCTTTGGCCAGTTGTACCTGACAATCTGTTTAGGTGAAACCAAAGTAGGTTTACCTGGCTCTTTAGGTTTATTTATATATATATATATATATATATATATATATATATATATAGCTGTTGAAATATATTTACAACTGATTATATGATGACTAATTAAGTTTTTTACTTATTTTATTATATTTATATATATATATATATATATATATATATATATATATATATATATATATATGAAGAAAAATATACAGAAAAACAAACAAAAATCTTAATATGCAATTATGCTGTATTAATGTTAATATAATGTCAACGTCAGACGTTTGGTCAATTTTAGACCATCATCAGGACATATTCATAAAACATAATTAACATTAGAACATATTCAAATTCAACATGAAAAAGACAATGGACATAAGAGCACGACTAATCCAAACAGATAAAGAAATTTTTATATAAAATCAGCATTCCGTTTAAATATGATCATGTCCATAGCCGTCACGTGGCGATGTTGTGAAAAGTTATATTTAAAGATGATTTCAAAATATTAAATAAGCGAATACGTTTCACATAGCTGTTTGACGATGTGATCATATTTAAATGTCCATGATCTTATATAAAAAGTTGAATTTGAATATGTTGTAATGTTAATTGCATATTAATTAATTTTTGTTTGTTTTTTCTGCATATTTTTCTTCATACTGTCGGATCTATATCCATATATTTGCTTATATATATATATATATATATATACATAATTAATATGGAGAAACTTATCATCCAACTGAGTGATGTTATTTCAGTCATGCTGGCTTCAAAGTTTCATGAGCACATTGTAGTAATGCCTTCACTCTTCAGGGCTGTTGGATTCTTAACTGAGAAACCAACAGCCCTGAAGAATGAACGCATTACTACAATGTACTCATGAAACTTCAAAGTTGGCATGACTGAAATAACACCACCCAGTTAAGTGATAAGCTTCTCCACATTAATTCTAATAATGCTTTATCCTTACCTTTTGATACCGAGAACTTTATAACAAAAACCTGCCTGCCTAAAATGAAAATAAACTATAGAAAAAGAACCAGCAATTTTGGTACCTAAAACCTTTTACAATTATAAAACAGAAGATGTGTGTGTATGTGTGTGTATGCTATTTATGCACATCTATATTTCTCAAACAATTTCAATGAAATTGCAAATTTACCAAGGTAGGTCAAGACCAACTTTTCAATATCCAAAGGCACCTGCGTTTGGCAGAAAAATCAATAAAACTGAATGTGGGTACAGCTTTTTGCAAAAACTAAGACAAAGTTACACGCGAACAAAATTTTTACTATATGAGCTGATGTTCTTTGCACTTATTGCAAAACATAGCTCATGCTATGAAGTTTATGTAGAGTGCTTGATAGTTTTCCTGCGACAAAAATTAACCAAAAAATGTGAAAAAAAAATTGGGTTTTTCTTGCTACTTAAAATAAAAACTCAAATAACTTCCTCATTTTTTATCCAATTTTCTTCAAACATGATGCAAAATATTTGCCATCATACAAGAAATAAGAAAATTCAAGAAATAAGATAGTGTGATTTTAGTCCTGCTTGCTAACCCACATAAATGTTCAAAAAGCCTGTTTTTTGGCCATAACTCCCTGCTTTTTTACCTTTTTGCTTTCAAAATTTGCCATGTAAATTAAATATGACACACAAATTGTTTTGTGTGAATGTTTGGTTTAGATTAGTTCAGTTAAGTGGACAAAATCTGCAACAAACTAGGTCCAAAATCAGCTTTTGCCATTTAGCCAATAGTTTCTTCATATGATTCCATCCTAAATTGGTATTCAAACAACCTTTGATGCAAAGATTGTTTGAGAAAGATTATTGAAGTGTTAAAAGGGAAAAATTCTCGAAGAAACTCTTATTAACTCCAGCTTTACAGTAAACGTGCAAAGGAGGGTTACGTTTATGTGTTTGCACTTGTCATTGAATCAAGCTCTGATGCTTCATCCTTGTTTTTGTTTGATTATTAGATTTGTGAACAATGGCATACTATTTGAAAGTTATTATGGCCATAGGAAATCTACTGAATATCTAAAATGTTAAAACAATTTAACCCCAAGCAACGACCACACAAGAAGGTTTTATCAAAAGGATTCCTTTATTAAGAACAATCAAAGATTTGTGAAGGATATACCATAAAAAAGATGGTGGAGAGTAGCTTATTATACCAACAGATGATGCATTCCTGCGCAATCACTGAAATTTTCGACCTGATCTGTGCAATGTAAATAAACTGGTGCCATATTTGTTATCAGCACGGTGATTTGAGCGTGCCAAATTATTAGAAAAGTGTAAGAATTTAGTAGAAAGATGGGCCATAAAAGCAGTTTAAGTAATGCTAAAAAGAAAACTATCACCTCAGAACTCTCAAAAGGTAAATCTACCCTAGAAATTTCTAAAATGATAGGGAGGTGTCATCAAACAATGAAAAAGTTCACGCCAACCCTAAACAAGCATAAAAAGGGCAGATAAAGGCAAGCCAAGGGTTATTTCACATCGTCTCGTGTCACGACTTAAACGAGGGGCCACAAAGAATCCTGGACTTACCAGTCAAGAGCTTTTCAGTCGCATTGGGGATCGTACTGTGTCTAAAAGTACTCGGTGTCGGTATCTGTGGGAAATAGCAACAACAGTCAAACCTGTATCGAAGCCTCCGTTGACGAGAAATCACATTCAAAATTGATTGAAATGGGTTGAGGACAATATGAAGATTGACATTTCTAAAGTTTTCTTCACAGTCGAAACTCGAGCAACACTTGATGGGCCAGATAGATGGTGAAAAGGCTGGGTAATGAATGGACAGAATCGCCATCAGCGTTCGAGACGCCAACAAGGCAGTGGAGGCATAATGATCTGGGGTGGTATTATTGGAAAAACATTAGTGGGCCCATGGAGAGTACCAGATGGCGTCAAAATGACTGCTGATGCATACATAGCATTTATGAAGGAGCATCTTGAACCGTGGATGAAAAGGCAAAGAGTTGCCTTCAGAAGTGCCATTGTTTTTATGCAAGATAATGCTCCCTACATGCTGCTCACAAGACTACTGAATATTTGAAACAGTTAGGCTTCGATGGACCTCGAAAAATGAAGTGGCCAGCAAATTCTCCAGATTTGAACCCAATCGAAAACCTTTGGAGCATCATGAAGCAAAGACTGTATGCCAACGGATGACAATTCAGGAGCAACACTGAGTTGTGGGAAGCAGTTCTTGACATATCTCGTGGCATTACAGCAGATGACATCCTACAATTAACAAATTCTATGGATCGTCGACTTCTTCAAGTAATTTCAAAACAGCGAAAGCACATTCCCTATTAATTTGTTTAAAACTGTGCCTTTGTTTGTATCTGTTGTTATTTGTTTGATTATCTTATTTATTAGCTACTTTTGATTATAAACATTCACGTGCAACATTAATAAACGTTTTGTGTGCTCAATTCTGGGATTTTTACTAAACCTTTCTAATAATTTGGCACGCTCAAATCACCGTACTGATAACAAATATGGCACCAGTTTGTTTACATTGCACAGATCAGGTCGAAAATTTCAGTGATTGCGCGCAGGTCAGTGTTGCCAACATTGTGTGAAAATTTTGTGTGAATTGATTGGATGGTTTTTGAAATATTAAAAAAAAGTTATCTCGATAATAATTTGGCATATATATATATATATATATATATGTGTGTGTGTGTGTGTACCAATAAGATAGCTATTAGATGAACTTTGATCTAAAATTTTCATTGTACAATGTTCCATCTATATGATTAATATTCACTACTGAACTGAGTGCATTGAAGATGAATGATATTATGTTGAAGAATAAATATTTCTTGTTTAAAATAAACACTTTTCATCATTAGGCTGTAGACTTTACACACACAGTGCTAAAATGTTCTCAGCTTGACCCATTTCTCAAAATCTGGCCAAACAAATTTTTTTAATCTCTTCTTGGTTGAATCGAGAACATTTCAGCACCTCTTTGTACATGTGGGTGTATAAGGCTGCCATAAAATAAACCATTTTCACAACTTTTCCAGATTAAAATACAAGAAAATACCTGGAATCTATCTATTTTGATAACAGCACCAGCCATAATGAACTGAGACAGGAGACTAACAAAACACTGGTTGTGATTTCTGCTTTCATGAGCTTACTTGATATACTTAATATATGATAATTGTACATATATTGTAAAAATGATATTGTCACAGAATATATTGATCTGATGTATATAAATGGAAAAAGATGAAATATTATTTTAAATTATGTCAATTAGGTTTATTCACTTACTGGAGACGTTTGGATCTGCTGATGATTTCCTTGCCTGTCACTGGGTCCTTCAACATATACTTATATCTGGCATTTACTATCATTTGGCAGATTTTACGGAAGTTTGATTCACGTCCAACAGCAAAAAGTGGAGTGTCAAAGAAAGGGTGGTTTTCTCTCAGTTCTTCTTCCTGCTGACTCCTATCAAATGAAAAGGTGGAAGGAAAAACAAATTATTTTAAAAAATGTATTCACATAAAAAACAAAAAGGAAAAAAAATGTTAATTATAAAAATGTAATTCATTGTGTGTGTGAGACAGAGTTCTTTCATTAAAACTACTATATAACTTTCTTGTGAAATTCTACATGTAGACTTAATGAATTATTTATTAGACATGTTAAGCAAAATATTTTTTAAGATTTTTAAATTAATGATTAAACTGCAATATTTTTCACTGAATAGAAAAAAATACATTTGTTTAATCTGAATGAATTAAAGTAAAATTTGCATTAAATTAGTAAAATAAAAATACAAAGGAATCAATTACTTTAAACTTTGAATAGAGATCCAACAAAGCAAGCTACTTTCTCCTGATAAAAAATAAAATTATTTTAAGTTGTTATTTAAAACTTTGAGATCAAGTATTAAAATTAAATTACATAAAATGAACATTTCAAGCAGCAATAATACAATATTAATGGAAAGTTAGAAAAATATAGATTTATATGCACATTTCAAAAACAATATTTTATCCTTTGCATCAGAGTATTATATCATTTCCACTATCACAATATTTTCTATATCACTTCTACTGATGTGACCTTAGTAAACATTATAATACATCTGAAATCATGACAAGAGATGAATTTTTAGCTTCCATCTAGCTCTATTGTGTTCTGTTTGATTCGGTGTTTGAAATTAACATCATGTGGTCTTGGGAACAGAACATTAGCTTGGGATGACTGGTTAGAATCTTTGGTATGGGACTTGGGCAACTCAAAATTTTTAACTAAAATTCTATCATATTTATTCTAAAAGCAACTAATTTCTTAAAATAAAAAATGTAAATTCATACTTCTCAATAATAGTGATAGGTTTTTAATAAAAGGAGCACATACACACAAACCAAAAAATTAGAAACTTCAGTTTATCTTTTTAAATTGGTTGCCAAAAACCAAATGAAAAATTATAACTGAATGATTTAAATTTAAATATTTGTATTATTTATATTTAAATATGAAAAACATTAGGATCTAATTGTAAAAATTAATTTTGCTTTAATAAAAAAAACAAGAAAATTACGTTTTTCTGTCAATTTTTTGTTAAAAAATTTGAATTAACTATTAACAACATTTATATTTTTTGTTTATCATAAAATAAATTGAAAATACAAGAAATAATTTAAAAAATGATAAACAAATACAGAAAACTTTATGACAACATTAAGTAGATACTGTAAATGAAAGGTTTTAATAAAGATTTTGAATAGTTGGCATATGCTAATATTCTTTAAGTAGAAAAATGAATGCATAAAGCACAATTCTTAAAGTCTTATAAAAGTTCTGCTGAGCATGAAAATTAATTAATAAAAACATTTCCATATAAAATTATTCAAGGTAATTCAACCAACATCCTAAAATAAAAAATAAAATTGTGATTTTTATAAAAATGACAGTAAAATTAACTAATTTGTTTTTGTATTTATTCATTTTGTAAACTTCAATATTTTAGCTTTTTTTATTCTATTTCTTAAACATTTTAATATTTTGATGAAAATGATAACTGAAAATGATAAAAGGTAAGATAAAATAATATTTTGATTTTGAGATTTTTTTCAGGATAGTTTGAGGATGTTGATGAAAAAACTTAGTTTGGAGCCATGGTTTGATTGTAGTGTATAAGTTCTATATGTGAATTGTTTGTAGAAGTTCATAACATTTAGCTAAAATCTTTAAAAGCTAACTAATGAAAATTATACTTTCATTTTTAAAAACATCAATAAAATATGTACATTCCAAAAGACGTTTTGCAGGAAATAAGTTGATGGATAGAAGGACTCTTATAATTTGGTTATTTTTTAATAAAATGCTTTAATCCTTATCTTTGCATTGGTTATTTTATAGGTATCTTGCAAGGAGGTGTTTAAAGTAAAACAAATTTTGATGAAAACATATAAAAAGATGGAACAGCAGTTGCAGTTAAAAGCATTTGCTTGCAGTAACACCTATGTGACATAAATGTAACAAAGCATAAATGTATTATTATTATGGATGTATGACAGTATGTGATATATATTGGTATATATATATATATATATATATATATATATTCCCAAGGGGACAGAATCCAGGTAGAACTCAATGTCCAGGACAGAGTAAGAATATAAAAGGCTCAAGCACTAATATTCCATGGTTATAATTATTACATTGGATATATATATATATATATATAAGTGGGATGGGTAAATTGTCGCCATTTAATATTTTTAATTTCACACATACATGTTGTTTGTTTTTGTCAGCTGCACAGCATAATAGGGTCAGTTAGGGACCATCTGTGAGAAAATGAGCACTATAACACAATTCACTCCACCAGTAATTTAGAAACAGCATGGTGTACTGCTTGGCATTTGCGGCGAAAGTTCCAATACGGACATTTTAGAGTGTTTGGGTGTCAATCTGATGACAGTGCAGAGGATTTGGAAAGAGTTGGATGATATATCCAGATAGTGTCATGGTGTTTGGAGTGATCACTGGTGATGGTGACATTATACTTCCATTCATCTTCTCACAGGGCCTCAGACTCAACACAGAGACCTACATCAAGTATCTTGAGGAGGTAGTGCTGCCCTGGATCAAGAGGGTGGATGCTGGAAGACCCTATGTCTGGCAACAGGACTCTGCACCATGCTACACAAGCAGGAGAACCCAGTCATGGCTGTCAGACAATTTCGAAGACTACATCACACTTTACATCTGGCTACCTAACTCCTCAGACTTACAACCCCCTTGATTATTATGTGTGGGATGCAGTTGAATGAGAGACTAACACCAAAGATGAACTGAAGGAAAGGATTATGGCAGCATTCACTAACTTAAACAAGGAACCCCTCCAGCAAAGTTGCAGGAGATTCGAAAGTCATCTGGAGGCTGTGGTCCAAGCCAATGAAGGTTTTATTGAATCAATTTACTCTTTAGTATTTCAAGATATTTTTGTGTAATTTTGGTAAATATATCTGTTAAAATGAGATGTCTGTGTTATTTTAATTTTTGCATAATTTAGACAAAAATTTATACATTGCACCCTGTATATAATTTTAATTTCATTAATTTGAAGATATAAATATGTATCAGGTAGCTTAATGGTTATTGGTGTAGAAAACCAGGTTCAAATTCTTGACTTGTGTTTACTTTCACACAAATATCTATGAGATTGGGCTCTCTAACCTTGGGTGGCAGCCAGTCTAAGAGAAAGAATATTTTGAATTCATAAATATGGAGAAGGGAATAGGAAACTAATCCACTATGTTTCTCAAAAAGTCCTGGCATTTTACAGATAATAAAGAAACAACTTATGGATAACTATGATTGCTTACACCCTGAAGGGACATGGCATTAAAAAAAAGTTACAAAGTAATGAAATGTTGCTACACAAAAAAAAAAAAAAAAAAAATATATATATATATATAATGAAGCAGCAAAGACTTCAGAGTGCATTTAGTATTAAATTTAGCAATGAGTGAACTGCTTTTTTTTTTCTTTTTAACTGGTGAAGCTGCATTTAGGGTTAGGTTGGTGTATTTTTGGTCTTAAATATCATCAGAAGGATACATGTAAGAGTTCAGTTCATATACATAGGCACATCACTACATTCATAGCCTAATGGTAAAAAGCATTTATTTTATGCAATAAATATTTTTCTCCTTCATGATAAAACATTACTATAAGAAAAAAAAAAATTTTTAAGCAAATTAGATATTCTTTTTCCATGGCAAATAAAAAAATTTTGACCTTTTGAACTCTGCTTGTTGTTTCCTTTGTTGCCATACTTTGATATCAAAGTCATCAGTTCGTCTTGAAGAATTTAATGTAACACCATGGATGTCTCCATTTTCTCTCATAGTAGATGATTTCATCTTTAGACTACTTGGACGTGAACCAGCACGGAAACTCCTAATAGGTAAAAATAAATACAAAGAAAATAAAAATTATGCACATTATTCTATAATGTAATGTTTTAAATAATAAAAAAAGGAAAAGAAATTGAACAATTCAAAATTTGAAAAATATGTTGAGATAATATCTGGTGAAAAGAAAATATGCACAGCTTCTATCCACTGTTATATAAACAAAAATCCCATATATTGGATAACATTTCGAGATGTAGTTTTTACACAAGGGTAATAATGAAACTATTTTATTATAAAAGTATCAATGTTAAGATGCTTTTATATATCATTTTTAAAAGACATTTTACAAAATGCTTATACTTGATACAAAGAATCATAGGAAAATCAATACATATTAAAAATATATTGCAATATTTAAAAGTTCAAATAACTAATTATTTATAAGATCAAGTTATTTCATAATAAAAGCCAAAAGAAATAATTTGGATTAGAAAAACAGTACCTTTTGTTTGAGACATTTTTGAGTTATATGTTATATAAAGGGTTATGTGGTAGCAACAATGAACTCTTCAAAGGAATAACTTTGCTGGCAAGTATGTATTTTAACACTGTAAGAATATGATGAGTTACCACACCCATAGTAATAAGGATTAAGAGTTTTGAATTATGAAAAAATACTGACCTGCGATCTAATCTAATTTGATGCTGTTGAGAAAGTAAGGATTTGGAAAACACCATCTGAGTAGAATCTCCTGTCATTATTCTTTGCTGATTAGAATCCCTAGAAAAGAATTAATAAAAAATATTGGATTTAAAAATACTATTGAATATAAAATAAATGATAATGTTTTTAAGTTTCAAATAAAATCATATCAATAATTCAATCTTTAATAAAATTAATGTACAATAATAAACATTTGACAGTACATAGTTTTTAAAAAGAAATAAAATTCTTATTGTGATTAACTAAAAAAGATGACTGTTTCAACAAGAAGTGCACAAAGATGGAAACACTGGAACAGAGAAATGGTAGATATGCATATAAAGAGAAAAGAAATAGCAGGACAGAAAATATGCTCTTCCAGTGGATTCATAAAATCTAAATAGGAAAAGAAAATATATCACAAAAATAGAATAAATACATTGGAGAACTCTTCTATAACAACAGAGAAAAGAAACATACAATACATGAAAACACAGAAGGACCTATAGTATTAAAATTGGAAGATCAGCACTGGGCAAATTGAACAGAAACAAAACAGAAGGACTGGAATGGGATTGTAATAGAGTTGCTGTCAGCTTTAGATGATTTTAGGATCAATAAGCTTACTAAAATAATAAATGAAAAATATGACAGCAGAGATCTATCTTCATAAAATGCCAAAGAAGCCAGGTGTAAATGAATTTGAACTCCATTGGACAATCAGCTTAATGAACTACATAATTAAACTTATTAGGATTCTAATAAATGGAACTTGTAACAGAATTAGACAGGAAACAAGAGTAAGTATAGTATGGCAATGTTTTAGGCACTAAAAAAGAAATGCTATCTTTATAATCAGAATGCAGTTTGAACAAGCAATACAAATACAAAGACTTGCACCTATGTTTTTATAAATTACACAAAAGCTTCTGATAAGGTACAAAACAAAGAGCTATAGAAGTAGTAGTCAACTGCTACAAGTGAGTCAAGTGAATTCCAAAATGAATCTCCAACTGCAGAACAACAGTATTTACTACTGTATTTATGTGAATAGGGACATACCCATTATCGTCTGTAGGCATGCTACTACACATATATATATATATATATATATATATATATATATATTTTTACATGTGTATTTTATTTTATCTTATCTTATCTTTATCGGTTTGAAAATCCTTGCAAGTAAATCTTAACTTGTAAGGTGAAATGATCATAGCTATGAGGTAATTTTAAATTCCTATTGTATGTAATGTGTGTGTGTGTGTGTGTGTGTGTGTGTGTATCAGAACAAACGGCTTGCATAGAGATAGAGAATGAATCCAGTAAATATACAAAAAAGAGAGGAGTAAGACAAGTATGCATTTTCTCAGCAGATTTATTTAATTTAAACACCAAGAAAATTTTTACAGAAGTTGAAGATCTATCAAGATTTATTATTGGCAGACATAATCTTAAGAACACAAGATATGCAAATAAAACTGCATTGAACTCTTAGATAAGGTACTAAAAGAAATCAAGAAAAAAGGATTAGCTATTAACTGAGACAGAATGCATAGTTAAAAGAAGCAATCTAAGGTCTAAGTTATGTCTTAGCGACATCAAAATCAAGCAAATACAGAAATTTAACTATCTGAGTAGTGTAGTAACATGATGAAAAATGTGATGTGGAAATCTGATGGCATATTGGAATACCAAAAAATGTTTTCCAGAATCTAAGCAAAGCCTTAAGAGATAGGAAATGTTTTTAGAAACAAAGAAAAGAGCACTGGATTGTTATGTATTATGAATATTTAATCTTTTATACAACAACGAATATTGGACAGTCTCCTCACAGATAGAGAAGAAACTTGAAGAAATATGGTTCTATTGATAAATGCTAATAATACCATGGACAGATCATGTGAGCAACAAGGAAGTTTAAGGAAAATAGGAAGTACAAGTAAACTCATACTTACAATCAGAAAGAGACAACTGAAATTTTTCAGATATAAAATGATGCAAGAGGACCTGAAGAATGTAAGCTATTGATGAGATACTGATGGCAAGAGAAGGGTGGGGGACAATGAGTAACTTATGATTTTGTGTAAATTAATGGCAGAAGAAAGTCAAAGAGGGATGGTAAAGAATCAAAAGTTATTTAGAGCAACAATAGATAGAAAATAGTGAAGAGTTATGATTGTCCATGTCCTGAAGGGATATGGCACATAAAGAAGATTGTGACTAACATTAGAGTACCTGCCTCCAATAATCTAAAATTATTTTTACCACCTAAATATCAAGTACTTTGTTAATGAAATGTTTTGAGACAAGATGGTCATAAAAAAAATATTAATATCATAAATATTTCAAAGACAGATTTATAATATGACATGAATTTGGTTAAAATGTCATCCATAAAGATATAAATCATTTTACTATAAACACTCAAATAACATATGAAATAAAATAATACAAATTTCATAATTGAAATAAAATACAAATTTCATTCATAATAATAATCAGAAAAATGATTCAGATACATGGAACATTTCTTTTTTTAACATGGTACCTGAAAAAATTATGCATTTATTTTATTTATTTTTTTTTTTACACAGAATTACAGCTAGATTATTTTAATTCATTTTATATTGATTGATTTATTTTAATGCATTTAAAGTCAGTTATTACTATAGTTACAAATATTGCCTTTAATTAGATAAATTTTGATGTATTTATAAAATCAATGTTGGTGCTCAGCTATAAGAAAAGAATTATTCAAAATATTTTTATAGTAAACATAACATCAATAAAGAGTTTTCCCAATAGCAAGTGGCTGAAAGCAAATGTTTTCTCTGCACGCACATTATTTTTTTTAAATTGTTATGATGAAAACACAGCAAATCAAAACAAAAAAAATCTTTAATGTAAAATTGCTTTTTAAAGTTTTATTATTTTTTTAATAAGAAAAAAGAAAACAAGTGAAAGAGAAAAAGGGAATAACTCAATATGCAAAAATTCTGCAGGTTATGATGAAAGAAAAATAGACAAAATAATTTGGTTTTGAAGTCAGAACAGATCTTTGAGAATCTGCATGCAGATAAAGAGTTTAAGGTAAGTTAAAAGAATTAAAAGGAGGAATGAAGGAAGATCAATAACTTCAAGTGAATAAGACAAAGGGATAAAACAGTAATATCAGAAATAATATTGATAAAAGTGATAATATAGGAATATGAAAAATGATACGAATAAGAAAATTTTAATACAAGAGAAAACTTTAAATCTGTTTTATGACAAGATTGAAAAAATATATATAAATAGATACTTTTCAGTAATTTTTTTTAACATTTCAAGGTTAACTGATTTGTATTTTAAGCAAATATTAGCTAATCCATTTTAAAATAAAAAATTAATTTTAAAATATTCTTCATAAATTTTTAATATTGATATTCATTTATTAAATGTTCGACTACAGGCAAGTTTCACTTTAGAGAGCATGTATAATAATTAAATGATCAATTTCAAAACCAACTAAACTTACTTTTAATGATCAGGTATAATATACTAACAAATAAGAAATTGTATCCAAGTAATATCCAAATATGTCTACTTTTATAATGATTATATAAGAAGTAACTTCATGTTTCCATGTTACTTTGAGAGAAAACCTGACAAAATATTTGGTAGAAGATATCAACAGTGGGCTATGATAAGTTTTTAGTCACCCTTGATTACAGCAATTTTGGCTTGTTTAATAATGTCTCTTCTTTTTTTTTCAGACAATACCATGTTAGTATCAAGCTACTCTCCTCTATGAACAATAGTTGACTTATATCTTGCAATGAAATTTCAGGGAAGTAAGGAAATTAGTGAATTTCAACAAGGACAAATAATAGGATGGCATCAGTGCGGCAAGTCAAATAGAGAAATTGTTAGGTTTTTCCAGGATAATCATCAGTTAATAATATTGTCAAGTAATTTTATGAAGAAGACCATTGTCATGTGGAACACTGTTCAGAAAGACCAAGCATTGTGTCTGAGTGAACAAAAAGGGAACTGAATATGGACGTCATCAGAAACTGTCATCTGAGGTCAAGTATGTTGCCAACAGCATGGAAATGTTGTCATATGCAGTGAGAAAGACTCTGAAAGAGCTGGGCTATCAAAGAAGAGTTGCAAGAAAGAAGCCCTTCATTTCAAAGGTTAACAGGAACCTTCATGTGGACTGGGCAAGAGAATTTGAGAGCAAAGATTATGAATTTTGGCAGTCTGTAATTTGGTAAATTCTGTCAATATTCTAATTTGAGATTGGTTTATGTTTGGAGAAATCAGAATGAGACTTGGAACATTGAATGTCTGCAGGCGACTGTGAAATATGAAGGGATTGGAGTAATGGTGTGGGGCACTGTCTGGTTTGGAGTGAAATCTGAGCTGATTTTTGTTGAGTGGTTGAATGGTCCAAAATACTTTCAAATATTACAGAAAGGACTATTCCCACTATTTGAAAGCAATCAGATTTACAAGAATGTCCACCTTTTTCAAGAAGATGGAGCGCCATGTCATACGAGCAAAGTAGAAAAGGCTTGGAAGGAATTGCAAGGAATCAAGTCACTGCCATGGCTAGCCCAAAATCCTGACATGAATCCAATAGAGCTTGTTTGGGAGCACCTTGACTGAAGACTTCGAGAGCGTGCAACCAAAATTACGTCAGTGGCAACCTTTAAAGAAACATCGCTAAAAGAGTGGCAAAATATGGCTCAGACGACTGTTGATAACTTGATCAAATCCATGAAAAATTGAATAGAAGCACTGAAACTAACAAATGGAGGACCTACTCCATACTAGTTCCTAATACTGTTTGTTTATGTTGAATAGAGATTATGTAATTAAATTTTGAAATTGTATGTAGATTATTTCTCCTGGCTAAAACCTTTTCTTAGGCCATTGAAAATAGAATTGAAAACTTATGAATTAAAAAAAAGAATAATGTCATCTAGATTTTTCTTAGAATCCTTATATGAGATAATATAAATATGAAATGAATTCTTGGTCAATGTTAACACCCTTTTACATGCAAAAGTTGCAAACTTGAGAGCAAAGGTTTTGGAGTGAAAAGAAAATCGATTAATCAGTAATGTAAGATATTTTATTTGTAAATAGAAACATTTCAGGAACTCAAAGGTGTAAAAAATTGGCAGTGTTGGGAGAACAAATTTACCCAAACTATGGTACAGTTGTTACTTGTGATGTAAGCATCATACTTCTGAGAGAGGAAGGAAAGTTCAGCTGAGAAGAGTGAACCTAGGAATATAGATATGTGAATGAAATCCCATGTATGACACTGAGTATTCAAAACTAAAAATCAATCTCAGATTTATATCTCAGCATAAAACTGATTTATAAAGTTTGCAAGAAATACAGATTTAATCTTTTTAAATAATTAAATCATAACTTTACAGAAAAATAATTTTTTTCAAACAGAATAATGAATATTAAATCAGTATCACTACAGAGAAATATATTAATAAAAATACTGTTTTTTTTATTTATTTCTTGTTATTAGTTCACCCACTACAAGGCCCAAGGGTGACTCATGGTAGAGGATTATTGAGGAAGGAGAGATTAAGAAGTGCACATTATGTAACTCGTTCAAACATCTGCCATAGTAATAGTGATAGAGTAGTGAGAGGCTAGCAATGTTCCATCTGTGGGGCAAGGGTTGCAGGGAGGAGAATAATTTATCACCCACAAAGCCACCTGAGTGAGGACTGAGCAGCATCAGCCCAGGTATAGCAGCAAAAATTCAATCTTGGTCAGATTTGAATCTTGTAAAAATAGAGAATGGTAGCAGGACTTAGGCATTTCCTGAAGCGATACAAAGAACTGATCATTCTTCCAGCATCTTTTCTGATGGCATGAATATAAACATTCTATTTGTGGTCAGGATTGAGCTTTAGACAGTAGGTATTCAAGGCAAGAAGCCTCTTTGAGGGTATGTCCACTCATAAGGATTGATGCAGGTTTAGGGTCTGCCTAGTGGTGAAGAAAAGTTACTAGCTCTGTTCTGGAGGTATTGAATGATACGAGCCAGTCTTTCCTCCATTGAGCTGTGAGAGTTGGGTCAGAGGTGAGAACAGCTGCCAGGCATTGGTCATTCAGATATTTTGATGTGCACCCATACACTCTGGTTTCATCTGCATATATATTTACTAGGGATCTGAAAATGTTCTTAGGCAGATTGTTAATATAAAGCAGAAAGAGGGTAGGACTGAATAGAGAGCTTTGGGGAACTGGCCATTAATGACGACCTTCATAAACCTACCTGACAGAAGGAATTTGATAACTGATATAACTCTCCCAGAGATTCTATAGTTAGCAAGTTTGTGTAGCAATCTTCTGTGCCACACCTTATCAGAGGCTTTTGAGATATCTAGGGTGATCAATCTCAAGATGGTTTTATTATCAAGTGCTTCACTGATTCTATGCATTTGTTTATATATATATATATATATATATATATATAGAAATTACGTAAACACAATTTTATTTTCCTTCGTCCCATCTCTCTCCCCACCTCTTCTCTTCTTCCCCCCCTCCTATCCTAATTGTCTATGGTGTGTATATGTCACCCACGAAATGTATCTTTTATGCATTAGACATCCGTCGACTTTCTTTCTCTCCTTTTTAAACCCCCCCACCCACATCTCCTAAAATACTCTCTGTTAAGGCTTCGTGTCCCTCCTCCTCATACTTACACTTTCTCTAAATTCTGTTTTGATTTCGGAGTTGTTTTTTCTGTTTTCATTTTGAATTTGTAGGTCTGATGATTTGGATCATATTTACAATTCCAATGGAATAAATTATGACCATGGAATATTAGTGTTTAAGCCTTTTATTATTTTTATATATATATATATATATATATATATATATATATATATATATATATATAATGTTACAATAATTCTGAAATGTATAATATTTATTATTTCCTAAATTCATTGTCATCTTAGGATCATTAAAGATATATAAATCAAAATGTAAATCACTTTAATTAGATGAAATTTTGAAATAATTTACTAACTACATTAAAAGATATAAAAGGTAGTAAATTTCTTTAAAAACTAAAGGATAAAGGATTTTAAAAATAAAGAAAATTTTATTATAATTTAATGAAGAAGCTGAGATTTTTACATGACAATAGTAACAGAAAAGTGGAGATATAAAAATGCTGAATTGAAAGAAAAGATAATGTGTAGAATGGAAGAATAGCTGATTTGAACATTTTCCAACAAGTGAAATGGAAATTAATTGAAAAACTTTTATAAAAAGAAATCAGCAATAAAATTCTGAAAAGAAAGAAATTGTGTTTGAAAATTTAAATTATTAAAGATAAAAATTGCAGTGATAACAGTGGATTAAATGTGAAATTAGTTTTTCATTTAGTGTATGGTTTTCAAGCAAAAACTAATCAAGAGAATCAATAAACTAACTTAATGAATGAAGTAAAAATCAATAATAACGGTTATAGTTTATTGAGTAAAAACTAATCAATGGATATCAGAAGGAAAATTAATTTATATAAAAAAATGAACAACAAATATTTCAAATATGCATAGGTAAATAATGAAAAGTATAGCCTCCCTGTTAATGCATTTAACCCAACGATTCTCTATTAATCACAGACTGAAAATTATAGTAAAAATTTCATGTCAATATTTGTGTTAGGTTATACTTTTCAATCTTCAGCCCATATATATTTTTTTATATGTAGCTGTATATCATTTATAGTAATGTGAAGATATTGAAAATTATATAATGAACAAGACTTTTTTTTATTAACATGATTTCTTCATCCTACTGTTCACAAAGGCAAATATAACATAAGATCTATTTAATGTGAAGCTTCACATATATGTGTATTAAGTGGCAACAACAGTTCAGTCCCATTGACACTTGCTGCAGGTATCATAACATACTCTTAACCCTATCCAGTTAGCGCAATGGAAAGGTACTGCCCAGAAGATTAATTACAGGAATTAGCTTCTATCTTTTTATTGTAAGTGTTCCCTGACCATGAATATATTTATTACTTTTTGAAAACACTGTATTCTTCATGACATTCACAAAACAGGAAAAAGAAAGAAGATATTAAACATTTTACAGTATCGACTATCTGCAAATGTTCAGCAGCTGACATTTCAGGGTTTTCAATTAATTGAGATAAGTATAACAATTTGTCAGTAAGTCTATTTAACAAATACGATAGATTCTTAGCTTTTGTTGAAATTAACCTTTTATAATAATCTAAATGTAACCAATTGTTTGTACGTTTAACACTTTCAGTGCCAGCAATTTTTTTTGATGTGTAGGCGAAAATAATTCCTCAGAGGCTAAACAACATTACTACAAAGTAGTTATGATTCACAGCATTGTGTGCAGGACAAAATGAAAACAAGGTATGAATTTCAAAAAGGAGGACATTATGGAATTAACATTCTCTCTTTATGTGGCATGTCCCTCAGGATGTAGACAATCATGGTTCTCCACAATTTCCTGTATATTGCAGCCCTAAATAAATTCTATCTTTTTGTTATTTCTAAACCTTGTTTTTGCCATCCATTTTCCTAAGTGTGTCAAGTATGTTATGAATTGTTTTCCTGTCTTTCTTGCCCTCAATCTGTCCTGTGAGTAACAGATTTTCCAAGCCCTCCTTCTTCATTAGGATGATTGCCCAATGGAGTTCACATTCGTTTGCACCTGGTTTCTTAGGTAGCTCTATGAAAATAAACCAATTTAGGTCTTTCAGCGTATCATCACTGTTGTAGATTTCATTTATTATTTCTGTAACCTTGTCTATGCTGAAATCATCTAAGGCTGCCAGCATGGCCAGTGCTGCTTCCACTTTGGTTTTTAATATTTCCGGTCCGTCAATATTTCTGTATATTGCTGATTGTTCTCCTTCGTTTATTTTCCTTTGGGATGATCTTATTTGCTGATGTCACCAAGGCTTCCCACTTTGAGTTTGCATTTTCATTTTGTCCCTCATGTTTGCTTTTCATACTGTCCATATATTTCTCTTCCAGATTTGGGTCATTCAAGGGTTTGTCAAGTTTTGAGTGCTGCCTCAGGCCTCTTCAATTTCCATAGTTTCAGTTTGTCTACATATAACTTCCACATTCAGCACATAGATAGGTTTTGCAGTGTATAACTACATTCCTGATTCTTTTGTTGATATTTATGTAGCTGTTTTTTTTTTTTTTTTCTGTCTATAGGTGTCTATTGACTCACCCACCCCTCCTGAGAAAAAAAAAAAAAAAAACATAGAAAGTGATATGGTGGAATTACTTTTCCAGTCAGTTTTGAGTGGGTATCCCATATTCACTCAAAACTAACCAGAAAATTAATTCTACCATATCACTTTTTATTTTTTTTAAATTTAATAGTACTACATAATTATTTTCTTCCTATTCTCAATTTTCTCACTCAGGAGAGGGTGAGTGAGTCAATAGACACCCATCTTTCAATTAATTCACCAGTCATAAAAAAAATATCAAAACCAGATCAGTATATATATATTTGGAAGGAAGCAATAATATTACGATCAGTAATTATAATAATATAATAATATATATATATATATATATATATATATATATATATATATATATATATATATATATATATATATATATATAAATAAATAAATAAAGACTTCCTATGATGGCACAACAAGTGAAAAAAGTTTCAAAATTATTTGGTTTCTGAATTTCAAATTTTACCTTACTTTTTCATTTAATTCTGTGTTGCTCCCATATACATTGTTAAGCAGCAATCTGTTTGGAGATATTAGTGAATGGACTGTTCTTTATGGCCACCCATCCTCTTACACACACACACACACACATAGTGTATAACTATTAGAATGTGGGGACGACTGGAAGTAAAAGTTTTTTTATTTTAATAAAGCGCAACATTATTACCTCATAATGGAATGTATTCCAGCCTTTTTCTCCATCATTCCAGCTCCACGTGCTGAATGGGACATAGATTTGATCAATCTCATAGGAGATGATTTCATAAAAATGTTCATGTCATCTGAGTTTGTGTCAACAACCAAATTCTCCAGGCCGCCTGCATGTTCTTCATTGACAAATTGGCGCATAAAGCTTTCTCGGATATCTGCCATGCTGAAGTCTCCAGGAATACGGTATAATCGCACCATCTGTGGATGGCCTCTACAATCAAGGAAATAAAGACAGTAAAAAATAAATTTCAATAAGTTAGATAATGCAACCTGTGAGAAATAGAGCTACATTTCTCACCATTAACGTACACCTATAATTTTACAATGAATATTGAGGAAAATACTAATATTTAAATTATTTAAATTATAATTCATTCATATTTATATATTAGTTCGCTATAACATTGTTTTGATTTATGATCATAATTTGATCATTTTTAATATTAAATATATTTCATTGAGAAATCATCCTTGGATGTTTAGTTATTAGTCTAGTACGAGTAACCTCTACTATTGAGGTATAAGACATGGGATGAATTTTGGAGTAGTTTTTTTTTTTTTTTTTTTAATGTGAGCTTTATACGGTGGGAAATACTATATATATTTCCAAAATAAATATTTACAACTGACTGGTTTTTATTTCAGTAGCATATAAAATGTAAAAATTTATGAGAAATAATAAAAGCTATCCAAGTTGTGTAAGAAAAATGCTTAAAAACAGCAAAAGAAGGTATGTTATTTAGGCAAATTGCATGAACTCATGCATTTGTTTAGCAGATTTTTATAAATGTGAAAATAAAAGAAGTTATCATGAAAGAATTGACAAATATATCAACTCTGAAAACAGGAATTGAAAAGCAAATTTGTAATACAAGGGTGCAGAAATAAATTCAGAGCTTAACATATAGTTATTAGTAGAATTTTGATTTGAAATTTCCACTGTATAATATTCAATCTATATGATTAATGTTCATCACTGAATTAAGTGTACTGAGCAGGAAAGAGATGTTATATGCTTTATTATTTGAATCCAAATACTCATCTAGGTTGTCATTCTCACAATATTTCAGTTGTTATTAGAGTTGGCTGTTTTTTGTGTCATTTGTCCTTTTCTTCCACTGAACCAGTGCATTTGACTTTTCAGCATTAACAGATCCAGGAATTGGACTCTCATTTGCCAGCAAACCAGATATGATTCAACCAATGCTTTTATCCACTTTTGTGTCTAAGACACAAAACTGAATAAGATTGATAAGTATTAACTGATTCTGATATGAAACATTCCTCAATCATGGAAAGTAGAATGAGAAAAAGTTACTTTTGAAGATTCAATAAATGTTTTAGTTCAAAATTCAAAGAATGTTACAGAGTATGATGACAGATACCTGAAGAAGGCCAGTGAGTACAATAGTTGAAATGTTATGAGCATAACATATACTATGAGCATGCTTGCCTGAATAATAAAGCCTATAATAATAATTCCTCATCACAAAAATTACAACATAAATGAGGAAGGAGATGACGTTGAAAAATATTTGTTGTGGAGAATAAATGTTTGTTTTCCCTCATTAAGCTATCAACTTATTGAATTGATCTATATATATATATATATAAATATATATAATGGATGGGTAGATTGTAATTTTTCATATGTAATTTACAAAACACATTTAGCAAAATAGAAAATATTGCATTTTAAAACCTTAATCATTTCTCTTCAATAAAGTATTTTAGATTATTCAATAAAAAAATTGCTTGAAAATTAATAGAATTTAATTTCTGTGATTAAAAGCAATGGATTTTTAAATGAATTATCTCAAGACCATTGTATTACATTTTGTTTTGTGTATTAAACACATGAAAAACAATTTCTAAGAAAACTATTTAGTAGCAACATTGTTCAGAAAGACTTGCTTAGAATGAAATATTTACTCACGGAAACTTTGTGAAGATACGTAGCCGAAGTGGCAGTTTCTGTTGTATTTCTGCAATTTGTTCACGAGCCTTGTGCTATGTAACACAACCATGCATAAGCAGAAATTGAGAAATCAGAAAAATAAAATACAAAAATACATACAAACTTAAATAATAATCTAATGTTTTTGTTAGATCACTCAACATTTCTGTGTCACAAGCAGAAAAATATTCCTAGAAGTTTAATATATGTTAAATTCAATAATTTTATGATCAGAATAACATTTAAGAAGTTGAGAATTACATAATATGATAGAAAGAAAAGTAAAAAATAACAAAATATTAAAGATCCTTGACATGAACAAAATGCTATACTGATAATTTTCAACATTTATTGTTAAAATGTATATTTTGATACTTTGTAGCATACAGTTTCTTTAAAAAGTTTTCCAAGATTTATTCCAATTATGAATTATTCAGCAAATTACATTTGAAGAACAATTAACAGTGAGTGCTACAATAGTTTCTAAAATTAGAAGCAATCATTTAAAAAGAAAGCGAAAAAGAAAGAGAAAAGGAAAGAAAAAGAAATCAAAGTATTTCATTTGTCGAAATTTTGCAACTGACCTGTTTGAGTTTTTTAATATCTTCATCTAACTCCAGGTTATCAAGTATAACAGCCACGAACAAGCTGATAACAATCTACGGAGAAATACCAGGTACTGATTATTTCTAAAATGAAACAAACTTGTAATGCCTTTAAAAATTAATGGTTAATAAAATATATAGCAAAATAGAGTCTTTGATATTATAACAATGTCTCAATGATACAATTAATAAAAATTTGTATTATTGATGCAAATGAAATTATTTATCAATGAATCAATTGAAAAGTATCAATAGATAAAATTTAAAGATTTATTAGAACACTATAAATTTTAAAAAATTAGTAAATAAAATTAATGTATCAAATATATACTGAAAAAATACATGTATAAATATTTGTCCTTTCCAATACTGATTTAATTTATTGAATAATTACAAATATTGGACAATCAAATGCATATACATAAAATTAAGCATTTAAACTTATGATTTAAAAAGGTAATGATATAAAAGGATTATAAAACTCAACTTTGTTGGGGTTTTTTTAACTTCACAGTTAATAATTTAGTTAGGATGAGATAAGTTTAATGCCACACTTTAAAAAATAATTTTAAAGGTTATTAATCAAATACCACTATACATGAAAATATTTTTCTATAATAAATCTTTATACACATGCAGATCAAAATACAAGTTAAACAGCAAACAATTAAGTGTAAACAGAAATATTAGATAATTTATACCAATTGTATATGTTATTGATGCTTCAAGAGACCTTAAAAGCAAACACAATTTCTTTAAAGAGAGTAAATTAAACATAATTTTTGCTGTTAACTTGGATTTTGATCTGTGTTGTTAACGGGTGATTTCTACAAAATCCAAAACCTAAGAATGCTATAAAAAATAAAAATTTACACAAATTCATATTTGAACATTATCAAAAGCATGTCCACAACATATACTAAGATAACAGATAAATATTAAACAAATATAAAAATTACAAAGAAACAATGACAGCTATGTTCATTTTTATTATAAGTAATCAATAAACACTATAACCTAAAATTTTCAACTTAAATATATTAAACAAAAATATACAGCCCAGGTAAATGAGTGTTGATTTCTGAGTTTTAAAGGAAAATAAATAGATCATATTATAATAAATATCATGAGGATAAAAGAATAGAATAATTGACATTTTATTTTTATTGTAATAGATATCCTAAAAATTAAATCTTTAGATGTTCTACAAAATAGCATTTTAGATAACCAAATAAAACAATGAAAATGTTTTTAAATAGCAAAAAAAAAAAAACTACAATTAAATCTACATATTATTTAAACAATTTTTTTAAAAATACAGCTCTTGCTTATTTATAAGTATGCAAATCAAAAGAAAAGTGCACAAAATCTTTCTCTTTATCATATAATTTTAATACATAGTACCAAGTTGATGCCAGTCAATATGCAATGGCTCTGTATAAAGATCTGTAACCCAAAAGCTATTTTACAAAATAAGACAACAAAAGGGAATAATTATTATTCACAGTAACAGTTTTCAAAAAGACAAGTTCAATCAGATAAAAAGCTAAATAGTTCAAATATTCAGAATATCAAACATTAAGCTCACAGTAGCAATGAAATGTAAATGTAATTAATGTTGTAAATATTTGGCTATGATTTAAAAGTATTAATAAATTGACAAATTATATAAATGTATACAACACTGATATCTGTGCTGTATTTATGTCATAAGCTTATTTCTTTTGAATATTCAACTTTGCAATTAATTGAACTTATAGAATCAAGTTTATTATTTTAAAAAATAGATATCATTTGAAAGTACTTAAAATATTGATAAATACAGCAAGCATCATTTATAAGCAGACAATTTTTTGAAAATTTAAAATGGAACTGATATCAAGACATAAAAGCTCCTATAATAATACAAAAGAAAAAATAGACACTGGACATTAAAACAAATGACATTGTTTAACAAGAAAAAAAGCAAGTTAAATAGATACTTACTTCATGCAAAATAAAATTAACCATTTTATACATGTACTGAGTATTATTTAATGTCTTGAAAAATTTGAATATTATTTAGTGTCTTTTGAAAAATTTGAATATATGAAGCAAAATGAACTGGTATGTGCATATAAATGTAAAAATATTAAACAGGTGATATACATATATTGAAAGCTAGCAGGATCATCTAACAAATTAATAATTATTATAAATAAATAGAAAATATGAAAACAAAGTATTTGTAGAAGCATATATAATAAGAGACAGAAAGTAAATTGTCATTTTAACATTTTATTCATAAAATATAATTGGAAACTTAAATTAAACATTTTCCAACATAGCTGCTTGAAAAATGTATAGATTCTTGCATCATTTTTGATAAGTGGTTAGCAAAACTTCTTTTGATGAAGTGTGAATACTGGATATATTTTTAAGTGAAAGGCAATCCAAACTTTCTCATCCACATAGCTTGTTATACAATTGATGGTATAAGTTTAAAAGCTTGTAAAAGCAAAATGTGATGTAAACATTGAAAGTTATTTCAGAAACAACTGAAAGACTTAAATTGTTGTTGTTTTAACATAGTATTTTCATTACCATTTGTTAAGGTAGAATATATGAAGAGAATCTAAGAGTTAATAAACTGTTTTTGACTCTAATTGATATATTGTTTTATGCCAATGCCATAATAAAGCATGGTTTTAAAATTTTTTGTACTGTTCTCCAATACTTATACTTTTTTTACTTAGACAATTGCTTTCTTTGTGTTTTTGATGTTTGATATAGGAATAAAGTTCTTACAAATTATATACCTGATGAAGGTTGACGTCAAAACACTGTGATAAAAATATCAAGACTAGGAAGACTAATTATCAGAACAAAATTTGAAATGCTGATGACTTTTCTCATTTATAGATAATATATTGCTCTGTCCTGTCAAAATCAAAGAGTAAATGAGAATGATGTTGCAAATGCTCCCAGTATTATTATCCAATTCTATGTATAAGCATTAAAGTTATTGTCACAATTTACAAGTTGTGTTTCATTTTTTATGTATAAAAACTGATATTATTAGTGTAAAATCATAAATGCATATCAATAATTTTGCTGTAGATATTGGGCAGAAATTTCTATTAATACACACTGAGATTTAGTTTAACAAAGATATTTAATGAAGTATTTGTTTTACAACTAAATTTGTGCCCAACAGTACAACTCAAAATTTACTGATACTATCATTTAACCTTTAACACACTGCTTTATTCATTACTTTCTTTTCTACTGCATTGTTTTTCAAGGCTCTTCTACTGCACTATGTAATTTCAGTCATGGTCATTTTCTGTTGTCATAGCAGGATATGACAACACAACTGCAAAATTCAAACACGCTATTATTCATTCATCTGAATCACTTGTGGCAGGATAAAATTTTTGCTTTACAAGCAAAATCACCTCCAGTATGTTAAAGGTTAAAGACAATTGAGACAACGTAGATAGAAATGCTGTGTTAAAAAATCCAAAACACAACATACTCTACAAAATAATTTTGTCTTTATCTTTTTTAGATACTATCAAAAACTGTTTAAAAAATTTTAAGAATTGTTGATTATGTAAAAGATATACTGAAAAGTTTATTGGCCCAGCAAAAATGGATTAAAAGAAATCTAATGTTTGGTCATTAGGTCAAAATCATGCTGAGGACTTTTCAGCACCCCATTGAAATCTTAACATTTTAAATGAAGACTTCAGAAATTGTGTGTGTGTATGTGACAAATGCAATTAATATAAAAACTGGAGACTGTTCTGTTGCTGAAACTGTCTAGTATGGTTTTGACATGATAAAGAGATAATTCATTGTTAAATACTGATAATAGCCAAAACAAATAAAAACCAGTAGATGTATGGAGGTTAAAATTGGATTGTATTTATGAAAAGCATAGAAAAGAAGCAATAAATTATTAAAAAAAAAAAAATGAAATGAAAACATGCAGTAATGAATAGTCAAATGGTCTGAATAGGAAAGAGTGCTGTTACTGCTGCATAGAAGGCAAAGTGCCATTATATAGCCTTAAAAGGGTTAATAGTTAAATAGAAAGTGCTGTATTTACAGTGGTATAATAAGTCCCTTTTCCATTCAAAGGTAAAAATTATTTAAAGGTTACAATGTTAATTTTAAAAAATAAATAAATAAGGTAGTATTTTGTGTTATTTTCAGAATGTCTTTGAGCAATTTAAGGGTAAAATTGATCACATACCTGCACTCTTTCCTTCAGATATCTAATCAAACCCCAAAAATAAAAAAATAATAAAAAACAAAATCTGAAAGTTCTTGAAAGTAAAATATTCCAGAGCAAAATAAATAAAAATTCTGTGCTGATTAAAGAGGTAAAACATTGGTTAAAGACATTCCATATTATTTCTGATGTTTTAATATTACTTTTTTAGTTTTTAAATGAAGCATTATCAATTATAAATTTTTTTACTAGTATTTTTTTTTTAATCTTAGTTTCTGTTACTTTTTTTAAATCACAAAACTCAGACCATCATTCTCCAGTCATAAGTGAAATGAATTATAAAAACTAAACATCAAGCACAACCTAAACTTACATCCCTGTTCCTTGAAAAGCCTGCCATAATGAAATCATTGCCTTATCAATTAAACCAGAGCCTTCTGACTGCAGTAATTTGAACTCAACCATATAGCTATTCCTTATTTTTTCTGATTATACCCCTAAGGAAAGCTGAAGAATGGATCAGCCAAAAACTTTGCCACCATCTTTACATATACTAATAATGTTCATAGTAACATTTTTTTTCTGAGATTTGCAAAAAAACAAACAACTGAAATTAAAATGAAAGAAGTATTGGTTGAAAAATTAATAACGTTTTTTTTTTTATTTTGGATTTGAAATAATAATTATGAAAATAAAAAATAAATAATTTCTTGGATTTTATTTTTTTAACCAAATCTTTAAGAAACCTTCTCAACTTCCATTTCTTTGTTTTAAATTTGACTATCATTTTATTGCATATATTTGCATTATCATCTTTGTACATCTGATACAACTAAGGATATTTTTTATTATCTACTAACAATAAAAAAAAAAAGAAAAGCAAGAAGTTTCATTTGGAAAAAGCAAATGATTCTATTGTTATGATCTTTCTAACATGTTTTATGGGCATGGAAATTAAATCATCTAATTAACAAGTTAACAGATTTAGTGTTAGGATTTATTTGTGCATAAAAAATAAATTTATATATTATTAGGTTAGCATGAACACTTACAAATTATTAGGTTGTTTAACATGAACTTTGTCATAACTTCTGGAATTTACTATTTATCCAAAACAATGATATATTTTATTTTTAATGAATATATTTGTTCATTTAGTCAAAATTTAATTCTATCCAATTTTACATTTTTTAAGGCAAAAATGAAAAAGATCATTTTTGCATTTTATAGTTGTTCAAGCTTGGTCTGAAACAGAATCTGCAAGAAATACAAATTCCACATTAGAAAACATTTTTGGGATAATTGAACAGAAAGATTTTAGTTTTAAAAATTGGCAAATGGAAATTCTATTTAAAAAAATGAATGGTGAGGGTGTCCCAAAATCATCAATAAATGATAATTTGAAGGCTGTGATGAAAAATGATCCAAGAACCTCAGAAAACTTATAGTAAACATTAATGAATCAATGAAATCATTTAAGAGCAACTGGCAAGAAAACTTAAAAAATTGTTCAGTGGGTTTGAATGACAAAATATCAGGTATACAGAGCTCTTAATAATAGTATGAAATTGGAGAACTTTTGTATATCACTACTTGTGTGATTTTGTATCCTGTAGTGTGTAGAGGGGGTACTGCATAAGAGTTCACTGAAAACTTCTTGGCCTGACCAAGAAGAGATTAAAAAAATATTCTGAAATTTGGTAATTGATTCAAAATTTGGGAAGTGGGTGAGGCCAAGAACATTTCAGCACCCCCTCATATAATAACTAGATAAGAGCTGAACAATGATTACATGATGAGAAGTTAAAACATCAACCAAAATTGTTCTGTCATCCCTGGGAAGTGAGTATTTGCTTGAAGTAGTGTTCTATAACTTCTTTCAAAGTAGACAATCTATATATATATATGTAGACAATATATATATATATATATATATATATATATATATATATATATATGTATGTATGTAGACCACTTTGAAATAGTGCATTCATAACTCAAAATAAACAGTGACTAATTTGGTGAATACAAACAATATGATTTTGCAGCATAATCACATCCACCTTCAATGTTGTAAAAGTGATATAATTGAAGGTGAATCAGATGAAGATGTATATTTTATAATATCCTGCCTGTTCACCTGACCTGTTTCAAATAGATTATTGTTTTTATTTTCAAGCATCTAGAACACTTCCCCACAGGCAAGTACTTCACCAATACATATCAAAATAAAGAAATTTTCAATCTATTAGTTTTTAGAATGAAGAATTTTTTTTACAAAGGAAATTAACAACTGGAATAAATGTAGAGGCCAAAAAGAGGAGTGTTTCCAGGATGCATTTTGTTTAAATTTTATGTTGAACAACTTGATAGTGATAGTTATGAAAAGTCTTAGTAGAGTTAAAGATGTCACAGTTTATTCCTGAAAGCATATTAAATAAATATACTTTATTTAGCAATTGATAATTTATGGATCTTGTCATCATCATAACAATTTTTTAGTTATAGTAATTATGTTTTTAAGTAACAACTGAAAGTAGCAATACCTTTAGTTCTGTGCTGAAAACCTTAAAAACTATTCAAATTTTAATTTTTTTCATTATAGTAGGCATCAATGAATGCAATGGCTTTAATAGTTTTTAAGCATCATAACAATTATCATCTTACGTCTGTAATAAATAAAAACATCAGCTAATATTTATGGGATGTCTTTGTAAAATGAAAACACATCATGAGATATTGACAAATGAATGAAATAATGTCAAGTGGAGTTAGAATATATAAATTTGAGAGACATATGCAAAGCAATGAAAAAGATAATTAGCTTCAGTGATAAAAATTGTACAAGGAAATAAATGAAATGGATTGAAATTCAATTTGTTGCACAATTTCATACAGTTAACTAATTTTTAAAAATTTTAATTTTTTCTTTAATCAGCATGTTTTTATGCCAATAATTTATTATAACAATTATGAAATGTTTCCTAGGACTTGCTATAATCAACTGTACCTAACAAGTTACATACCCCTCAATAAACAATTGGTAAAATTAAATTAGAATATATTATTTAAACTTAAATACATTTTTTCTAACATTTTATCAAGTGACATTCTAACTAATATTAAATAAGATCCTATTTTTAATTGCTACAAAATTTTCAAAATAATCTAGTTTGCTTTGGGTTTTGAAATGCTTCTCAAATGCAACAATTAATATCACTTTCCAAGAATAAGTATTGCAAAACAATTAAAATTTATCATAAATGCGCTCTCAAATATTTACATTAAATGAATTAAGAAAAATTAATTCACTGTACTTATGACATATATATCATAGTATCAATCTAAATTTTGAATTTCCTATTAAGTATCATAAAAGAATGTAATATCATTGTTAGGTTGGGAGGGAAGCAGATAATATACATGATTGAAATTTAGTTGTTCAGAATAAAGTTTCAAGAAACTGGTTTAGCCTTTTCATTCTTTTAATACAACCACTGACACCATGGATATTTGAACACTTACATAATAACATCAGCTATGTGTTTGTTAAAGTTACCATAACAGAATCTTAACATATCAGTCACTTAACAGAAATGTAGCTAGGGAAATTGTATTTCTGTCCCTTTAAGTAGATGACTGCATTTCCCCACAACTTTTTTGATAATTAAAAATTATGGAAACACAGTAATATAAGTTATTTTATAATGTAACAAAAAAGTGTGAACAGATAAAGTAAATTATTTCAGAAACATTTTCATATATTTATCAAGTAATTAAATTTAAGGATGGACTGTAGACAAAATGATTGAATTATTTATCTATATATTTGCAAATCCAATATAAAATCATTGATATTTCCTTAATTAAAATTCTTATCACTGATGTGCAAGTGTGTGAAGTGGAGCATCAAATCATAGGATCAGTGTGTAAATATCTCATGAGCTGCTGCTGCTGCTGCTAAACAGAAAACTATGATACAGAATATATATATATATTATATATATATATATTACACACAACATATGGAATACTGAAAAAAATGTTGCCATGACAGTATCTTCTACCAGAAGGTAGCTTAGCCAGCCAGGTACTCACCAATGTTACAAAAAGGTGGTAGAATATGAAATAGATGGCAACTAGGGGTGCTACCCTTCCGGTTTTCCACATTGTTACGTGCATTACCTCAATCCAGCCCTTTTGGGTCAGGATTTGAAACATTGACATGAAAGCCTGGGGGAGAGAGAAGAGGACACCAATACACACAATGTTATGATTAAAGGTTAAGAAACTTGCAAAAGCTCAGAGGCAGATATTATTGAAACAATCTCTATCAGTTGCAATAGAGACAGGAAGAATAGATAGAAAACCCTCAGATATCAAGAGAGACAATTGATTTGGTTTTTTTTATGGCCTTTTTGAGGTTATTTAAAGCCAGAAAACAATTTTAGATTGTAAGAATTCTTTTTAAAGATAATGATGCACTGATACAAGTCAAATTAATCCATAACTGAGGGATGAAGAGGTGGATTCATACATTTGCCAAGGGTATTTGCATGAAAGTAAATATAATGAACCTGACTGAAATTGGAACTCGGTTCTTGGATTTCCAATTCTGAGCAGTTATCCATTACACCACCTGAACCCAAGCTTATAACACCTGGTATTCCCAAGTGGTTACCCATCTAGGTACTGACCAGGCTTGACATTGCTTAACTTCAGTGATAGTACAAGAACCGGTGTTTCAATGTGATAGGGCTGTAAGACTCAAGAAAAATAAAGACAGCAGTAAAATGTAAAAGAATAAATATTAAAATAAGTTTGATAGAAGCAAATTACAGAAAATTTATTGACATTTATATAAATATTTAAGGAAATATACTTTTAGACTTAGAAACAATTAGTATAAAATTTGGTTATTAATATAGTGAGTATTGGATCTACTCTAATAAACCCACTAGCATACAGAAGTTTTACATTATTTGTTTTCATGTTCAACATTTAATGTTAGTATATTACAAAAGGACTTTAGATAATAATTAATTTTCACAGAGCAAAATTCAACAGCAAAAATTGATGAATGAGTTTTTCAAGGTTTTAACAATTGTTTTTATTTACAGCCTCTTCAAAATTTGGTTTCAAAATTTCAAAATTTTTTCGAGGTTTTAACAATTGTTTTTATTTACAGCTTCTTCAAAATTTGGTGGCTAGGGTTTACTGATGAATGATGTAATGTCTAAGACCAAAACTGTGCAAAATAAACAAAAGGCTGCAGGAATTTTGAAAGACAGGCTAAGACTGCAGGTGGAGGGATGCTAAGCCAATGAGCAGGTATGAGTCCCCTTGCAGTTATTGCTCCCATTGCCTCCTAGAATCAATGATACAATGTCTGTACCTCTCCTCTAATAAAACAAATAAGAAAAAGAAACTGTCTTTCATTGATACCATCTATGAAGTGGCATTGGGGTCCAAGGGGCTGAAGCCAGTGATAACACAGACTGTAACAGTAGACTAGATAATTAGGAGTAAAGTCTGTTTGTAGATTCAACTTTTCAGTAATTATGGATGGACAATTTTTTTAAATAAAATAATGAAATTTTAGTGCAAACAATATTCATTTTGTATAAAATATTGAAAATCAAAGTGAATATTTTTGTTTAAATCATTATTTCTCCATAGATATTAACAATTTAGATTCAATAGCAAACCGAATATATGGGAAGGGGTTTTTTGTTTGTTTTTTTGTTTCAATAAACAAGAAAACAAGACCTGCTGATGATTCTGAGGGTTTCCATCATTTTGACAATGAGAAAATTCAGTTCCTGCCTGGCATACAAAAGTTATAGTACTCAGTATTGTGAACACTTAGAACAAATAAATCAGCAAAGATGGAAGGAGGAAAAAGAAAAAAAAAGATCAACCAGCACAGATTGTGAATATTCTGAAAAGGTAGAAATTCATTCATGCACTGTTCATTCAGTTAGTAAAAAGGTTAATGTTACTAAGAGGTCATCACTTGGTCAAGGGGATAAGTTACATTTGACTAAAGTAGGTGATGAGTGGAAAATTGACATTGAGGCTGCAAAAAGCAAAACAAAACAGGGGAACCAAAAAGCTGTGATCTACTCACCAAGGAAACAAAGAGATGGAAGAGTACAAAATAGGAAGCAACTAAAACTATGATCACATGTTGGGACTGAACTTTTCCCATGATCTCATCTACAACTTCAATCCAGCCTTCTTGGATGAGGATTTGAAACATGGTCATTAGCGCCTGGCAGTGGGAGCGAAATGAAACCAAGTAAGAAAAAAAAAAAATAACCAACCAAACAAGCAAAAGTAAAATAAGATAAAATAAAAATAAAAAACAAAAATGAAACAAACCAAAAATAATAAACATAAAACAAAAACTATAAAAGAAAATATGAACAACAAAAATGTTGGTAAAATTAAAAATAACAGAATATAATTGCAAGCAGTCAGCAACCAAAATTAAAAAAAAAAAAAAAAAAAATAGTCATTTTCTTTTAGTTTATACCATGTTACAAAAAAGTTTTGTAACTTTATTTATATACTAGTCTAGAAGCTGCCCTTTGGGTAGACTTTAGGCTAACTCCTGTGGAGCGCTTTTGGGCCTTCAGCCTTTTACCTTCAGCATCCTATGTACATAAAGTTATAAGAATTTAGAAATAATGAAATTATTTTATCTTATTCAACACCTTAATTCGGCATAATCTTTCTTCATATATGCAACTGATGTCTGTAGTTTGTTTACATTTATTTTGTGCACAATTTTTATTTTCTTTTAAAATCATTCTTTATAATCATTTCACATAAAGTCACTCTTAAAAGACATTAGGGAACAAAAACTATGTAATATTTCAAATACATCACAGTACATGTGTTAGAAAAAAAAAAACATATGAGCAACATACCATGCCCACTTAAGTTTTAATTACTGCTTAATTAGACAATATCAATTGCAATGAAAAGTGAAATTAAAGTTAAACCTTTAATAAAGAGTTTTTTTAAACCTTTCACCCTGTTTGATATTTAAATTTAACTTGAAATGAGTTATTTATTTAATTTTTAATGTGTTACTTCAGGTTCGTTGAGATCAAAAAAATGAACAGATGGCTGGACACACATACACTGCACTTTATTTATATAAATTTTATATTGGAGAGATAATATTTAATGATTTGGTCAGAATTTCTGAAATGAGGTATTGTTACAATTGTACATTAATTTATTTAGATAAATTTCTTTGTTGTTCTTGTTTATATTACATTTTGGTGATGGATTTATTATCTAGTGTTCCTGAGAGTACATTGCCAAACAAACCATTGTATAATATGGATCAATATTATTGATTATTGTTTACAAAAAGAAATTATGGATTATTTGAGGCTGAAATTAGCAAATTATAACAGGAAAATAAATTATGAAGAATTTGAATTCATGGTAAATATATACTTTAAACATAAACCAAAAAGATGAGGGCAATAGTCTGCATGTAAATAATGTAGGTAAATCAAAAAGATTTTGACAAGATATGAGTTAAACATTTTCCACTAAATAAAATATTAAGACACCCCAAAAGTGATAAATGGACATATAAATACTCTCAGTAATCTTTCAGAATAAAAGTTACCATTTTATTTGCATTTCTTTAGTATAATGGCTAAAATTAATTAATATTGCTAATTATAACAATTATATACTATGTACGCATATAGCAATAAGAAAAAATAAGAATGTAAAGCAAGTTTAAATAAAAACTTTCAATGTGAAATATTATGTCATACAATTCATTTCAGCATCAGAATGTTTATGCTCAAGATTAAATGGTGATCAAATATTAGATGGTTAACTTTTAGATAAAAGTGAATGTACACAGTAACATCAGTGTTTTCAGCAAGTCTAAAATTAGAAATGTATGTTAGCTAACAAAAAAACAAGCCAATTTATATATAAGTGTAGATACAGGTATTTTTTAAATCAGCCATGCTTACAACATAAATATTACATTCTAAAATTAAATAAAGTGATTATTAAATGGGGAATGGCTACTTCCTCCTTTTTTTAAGTTGTTAATTTTGTTTTCTATAAGTCTGAAAAGTCTATTATTATAATATAAAAAACATTTTCACATGGTATAAATTAAAAGATGACTAAAGTATTAAATAAAAAAAATCTAATGATGATGGTGAATAAAAGTGCAGACTTGTAAATGCATGATGATTAAATAAAAAAGAGAAAATAAAAAGCAAATCTAGTTAATAAATTTATTTAATGATTAAATTGTCAATTAATAAGAAATTAAATCATATACAGCTAACCAAGGGTATAAATTCATTGATCTCTGGCAATGTTGTATTACATTGCAGATTTGAGTAACAAATTTGTTACACAACAATAAAGCACTTTAAAAAGTTAATGTTTTTTTATTCATTTTTTTTTTATACATAAATATTATCAAATTACTTCTATGATCAAATATTTTCATATTTGCTTTATTTATTTATTTATTTATTTATTTATTTACACAACATTTAAATACCTCTTTATCTCTTGAAAATGAAGAAGCAAGATTTTTTTAACACTATGTATCGGGTTGGAACAAAAGTTCATAGCATTTTTCAATAATTGGCATTTGAACATATGATGGAAATTTATGACATGTATACATATTCTGAAAGATGACATTTCAATGAGTCTTTCTATATGATTCATGTGGACTGAGAATTGTAGATGTTTTATATTAAAAGTGAAAATGATGTAAAATGAGATGCAATTTCATCATTTGTGGCTCCTTTATTTTTAAAAAGATAAAAACATTGTACAAACAGCAAAAAAGGTATGTGTGATTTATGGAGATTTATAGCAGGGACTACTGTTCATAAGTGGTTTGCTAAGTTTAGAAGTGAAAATTTTAATCAAGAACACCAAGAACATTCTAGTAGGTGTGCAGTTGTTGATGTTGACCAAATCAAAATGCCAATTAAAAATAATTCCAATCACACAACATGGATCATCAGGGAGATACTCCATATATATATATATATATATATATATATGTTAGCTCTATCTCTGATATTGAGCGCTTTCTAATAAGTACCGCGCATATAATATAATATATAAATAATTATACATACTTATATTTATTTATATTCACTTTTCACACACATATATATATATATATATATATATATATATATATATATATATATATATATATATATATATATAGTATGTAAGGCATTTGAAAACACTTGGATACATGTAACTCATGATCTAATAGAAAAAAGTTTAACATTTCCATCTGCAATTCTCTGATCACACAACAAAATTGCCCGTTCTTGAAAAAAGAACAATCACAAGTGATGAAAAATGGATGGTTTACAACAATGTAGAGCAAAAAAGGTCCTGGGAAAATGAAAAACTAGTCTGCATCTGAAAATGATGCTGTGCATCTGGTGGCATTGGAAAGAGCACTGTGTATTCTAAGTGCCTTCTGTAAAATCAGACAAGTACTGTTCCCAATTGAACTGATTAAAAGGCAGCAATTGATGAAAAGCATCTAGAATTAACCAACCAGAATGTTGTCTTCTTCCATTAGGACAATGCCAGACTTCACATTTCTTTACAGAAATTGGTACAGCTTGGTTAGAATGTCCTATTACACTTGCCGTATTTATCTGAACTTGTATCTTCAGATTACCACATTTCAATACCTACAAAATTTTCTTAATGAGAAGAACTTCAATTCTCTGGAAGCCTGTAAAAATCCCTTAGAACAGTTTATCATCCAGAATATGCCAAGTTTTGGGAGGATGGAATCATGAAGCTGCCTCAAAGATAGCGAAATATAGTGGAACAAAATGGCACATATGTTGCTGAATAAATCTATATACAAATATCTAAATATTGTCTTCGAAATTTACTTAAAAAATGCTACAAAATTTTATTCCAATAGTTTGAAACAAGAGGCCAGTATTTTTAAGTTCTTATGCTCTTACTGGAGCATGGTTCGAAAGAGGTATTTACTAAGCTTAACTTAGTTTGGCTAAAGCCACAAATGTTGGGCACTTAGTGAAAAATCAATCTCACTACAGTAGGTATAGTCTGTAAAATTAGTTTTCTAAACACTGTTCCATGTTAAGAGGACCCCATGGTTGTAAATAAGCTTGACAAATATGGGAGGTCCAAAGCAAATCAACCTCACAAGAGTAGGAATGGCCCGTGAAAGTAGTTTCTTAACCACTGTTCCATGTTAAGATGATTTCATGTTTATAAAGAGAAATTGCTTATTTCAAGGTGAAAAACTGAAAATTGATAAATCAAATCAGTTATAATTGTAATTACATTCTTACAAAAAGATATTCCATTAAAAGAAGGTTAAATATATACTAACCAATGTAATATAGTATGTAAATATAAATTTCATTAGTGTAATATTACAACAGACCACTATAAAAAGCAAAGATCTAGTAATGTTTATAAGAATACTATACTACAAGAATCTTTTGTTGAACTATGGATTCTTTATTCATCTTAGATGAAAACAGCCATTAGTATCAAAGATTCTGGCTGTGTCTGCTAGTCTAAAACAATTTTGACTTTTATTCATTTTTGCCATTCATTTTTTATGCCTGATCTCAAAATTTTGATAAAATATTTGTTGTACATAGTTTCATTATTCAAAGCATTTCTCTTTTTTTTTTTTAAGATCTTGTCCCCTTTATAACAATAAACAATATTGTAAAAGTTAGGACTAAAAGATAATGTGCCAACTGAGAAAGCAAGCATAAGAATTAAATAAAACATTTGCAACAAAAAAAAATGTTTTGTTTTACAATGTAGAGCAAAAGCAGAGGCCTATAGCTTAAGCAATGTGATAACATACCAAGTTCCCTATGTAACAATCAGATGAGTAGAACATAAAAAATGTCAATATGAAGTGAAGATGTGAAATAAATGCAAAAATGAAATCATTTCAAATTACTAAAAAGTGTATAAACTACAAATCAATAAAATAGCAAGCAACAATGCAGAGTTACAAAAAAGTAGTTGGAAACATTTGGTTACATTTTTAAACTGGAAAAACTATTCAATTCTAAATAAAAATGAGTAGGAGAGAGAAGTTATAAGAATCAATTGATATCCACATGACTAAAAACTTACTTTCAGTTACTTAATTACACTGGCCTATGGTTCTTGATTATTCTCAAATGATATTATCATGTGTTTATTAAATTTTACTGAATAAAACACAACATAGAACAAGTAAATGAAGACAATAAATATTACTACTTCTATCCCATTATAGTTGTTATATTTGTATACACATTTCATACACAAAATGTAACTGTCATTATGGTGGTAAAATTAATTCTAAAAATTGATAACAAAATTTAAGATTTTATTTTTCTTTGAATTTAAAGACATTAAAATTTTACTTTTAGGTTGTTGAAATATTCAGGATGAAATTTGTTAATATGAAATACAAAAGCAACAAATTAACACCACAAAATCTGAAAGGTATCTTTGTATTTTAATGTCATTCTAATTTAGACTATAGGGCAGTGATATGACTTTTGATCTCACAACCCACTGTAAATAAGTTTAACACCTATAAAAGTATTCTTATATCAGGCTTATACTTCTGGTTAACATGTATAAGGCTGTCCTATATAAATAAACATTATTTTATTATTCAAATTAAATCTAATAGAACAGCAAAATTTAAATCCAGAATAAAAATAAACTTTTAACCAAATGTTCCTTTTGTTTGAAATACATCAAAATTGCAAAAATGAAAAACATGTATTTAAAAACTCTTCATTGTTAACTGAAAATACTATATGAAGGAAGAGTAGTTAAAAGTTAATATTGTTATTGAATAAATATGCAGAAAATGTTGAATTAAGTGGTCATGGCAATTTGATTCACAAATGTTATAATAAAAGAGTTTTATATATAACTATGATGATTTTTAAATGGTTGATTTTTAATGAGTTTCAAGAAGAAATTCACAAAAAAGAAGTATTTTTTTTCAGTAATTTTGATGTATTTTTGTATAGTTATATAAAGGGTCTTTCTGAATGGGAAATCAAGGAGTCAAAACAAAAAGGTGATGGTTGTCTAGCACACAAAACTTTTGAACATATCTCAAAAATCTAACAACTCAATTCTTAGCAAGTTGATGCAAACATCCTTCAACTCAAAAACACCATACATGCACACTTGCTTGCTTGTACATTTCAGCAGATATTCAAATATGTATGTTTTACATATGTCCAATAACATAATGATAAAGTTTGTAAAATAGATTAAAGCAAACAAGTTTTAAAAAAATAAGGTGGATGAAGTTCTGAAAGTATTAAAAAAAGAATAGCAGAAAAAAAAAAGGATCTTTCATGAATTACTAGTTATATATTGATTTGATTGTTTTTGTTTAGCGACATATCAAACTCTATAGATTATTTAATGGCGAAATCTAAATATTTTGCATGCAGTTTTATGGTTTCAACTACATATTTTGAACATATGTGTGTGTGTGTGTGTGTGTGTGTAATACATAAAATTAATTTTTTTGTGGAGAAAATGAAATAATAATTATGGCTTCATCTTAGTATAGATTACATTTGGACCTTGTATACATAAACAAGCTTTCAGTTTTTCTTATTAGCCCACTACTTCACCCTACCACTTCAATTTATTCTATTTTGCACTAATAAATTAAATATTTACAACAGCATGAAAAATAATTTAATCATTAAACACCAAACATTGAAAATTCTGACCTAAGCTTTGTTTGATCAAGTTTAATACTTGATCTGTATACTGAACATTGAAAAATCAAGGAAATAATGCAAACATTACTGACAGAATGTGTTTAATTAGAACAGATTAAAATGATCAAGAATATCTTATTATCCATATTTTTGAATTGAACATTATTGTCTTTCAGAGTTCCATGGCATTCTTGAAATACAACAGTTAAAGCCAGGCTGCTATGTGGTATCAGGCCAATACAATATCTACTACAAAGACAAACACATCTTACTGATACTTTTTAGATTAAGCTAAATCTCAATACTTTAATGAATTGACATTAGAATGTATAGCTCTTGGAAAAGACAGAGCCAATAAAAACATTAATCTCTTCTTTTGCATGTAAAAGATTTGCATGAATTTTTATAAAATCGTTTTTAATTTTTAAATTTGTCTTTATAATGACTGACCTGGAGTTGATATGGAGATTGAACCACAGATCATGTGGCTTAGGATCCAATATTTTACCAATGTTATATAATTATTCAGGGAGAAATATTAAATTTCTTTTTTGCTTGTTTTTTTTTTTAAGAACATAGACTAGCTCTACTTTATGGAATCAGAAAAATAAAAATCAATGTTATCTAGCAATATAATCATTATTTTATTGACAGATGATTAAATCAGCAAAGGTCATAAATGAATAAATGAAAGCAATCTGTTTCATAATTTTAGACTAACAGTTATTGCCAAAACATATTTTTATTTTCTGATTCACAAGCTTTTAGATTGATTGTTGATTTCTACGAGTTATCATCCTTTTGCAGGCTATTTAAAGCCAGAAAATATTTTAGATTGTAAGAATTGAGGCAGGGGAGATAATAATAATTTAGTGATACAAGTCTTAGTAATTAACTCATAGCTGGGAGGAGAAAAGGTGGATTCATGCCTTTCCTAGGGGTATTTGCATATAAGTAAATATAACAAACACAATGGGAATTGGAATTTGGTTCACCAATTAACAATCCCGACCCATTATCCATTACACCACTCGCACAGCCAAGCTTACAGCACCTGGTATTCCCAAGCAGTCACCCATCTAGGTACTGACCAGCCTTAACATTGCTTAATTTTGATAATCATATGGGAACTGGTGTTTCAACATGATATAGCCATTAGCCTACAAGCTCTTAGATGGTTGAAGAAATACTGGTTCCTTAAGTATTGATATATCTGTAAATATACATAATATAAATAAATAATACTACATTATAATATATTTTTTTAAATTTAAGTGCTTATTAACACTATTTCTACTGAAAATAAAATATTGATTAAACTTATTATTTTATATTAAAAAATTGAATCATTTTGATTCAGTAAAAAGACATTACACCTTAATTTAATTAATGCAATTTTATCAAAATTACTTGGCAAATCAGTTCTTTTCAAACTGATACATAAGATTAAGGGAGAAATAATTAGCATCTTATAAACTTACATAATTTTATTTTTAACTCTTGAAAACTAATAATACTAGAAAAAATGTAATAAGCAAGAATTTGGACCTGTGCAACTACTTTGGGTCTAGGACAATACACAACAAAATATTTTGTCAAGGAATAAAACACAATTAGAAAAAAGATTAAATATTTAGGAGCAAAAATGCACAGTAAAGTAGCTGTAATATTATATTTAAAGAAAATATTACAGACTCTGAAATTAAACAAAATACTAGAATCTGTTCATAACTGTGCAAACATTTATAATTACAAATTACAATAACATTCATTACAAACTACACATATATTTTTTTTTAAAAAATGAAATACAATTGTATTAAATCTTTAAAACAGTGCAGAAGTAATTTTTCATGTTAAAATAATTTTGAATAACATTTGATATTTTAGATCCAACAGCTTGGATAAAATAATGAAAATGGGGAAAAAATATCAAAATATTTTCATAAAACTTAACAGAAACTAGTAATAAGAGAAATGAGTCATGGCAGCTGTAAAAATATGTCAGAACACTAAGTTGAACTTTTTCCATGAACTCAACAATGAAGTTGAGTTATTCTATCAATTCATGCATTAATATGAACTCAGAACTTTTTGTCTTACTAAAAAAATAAATAAATCAGTTTGATATAGATCATACCTTCATTTTATACTTTTTTGCATTGAAAAAAGCTTAATGACATGAGAAATAAAGAAAGCATCTTTTATGACTTATAAAATTTAATTTAATTTTCTCTTATATGTTATTACCATTGTAAAAAAATGAGATCAAAATTTAAAAAAATCTGATGCTGTCAATAAATAAAAAAAACATAAAATAAAATGAATTATTAAAATAAAAAAGAAGTAACTCAACAATTTTTTTATTTCTTAAATTTTTTATAGATGAAAACTATTTTTAAAAGATTTTTTAAGAAATGGTCATATTTTAAATCTTTCTTATCATTGATGATTTTGAAAATTATTTCAATCAAAAAATATAAAACAAAAAATAAAATTTCAGCAAATGTTAAAATGCAAAGATGTTAAAAAGTAATAAGTGAAAAGTGATTTGTTATAAACAGCAGGAGCTTACGTGAGGGAAAGTGTCAAATTTCCTATTATTTGTAATGATACAGAAGAGTTGTAAACTGATGCTGGAGGCAATGATCAACAGGCACATGGTGAACAGAATCAGGCTGCCCAGTTTCCTGCCAGGACCAAAGATCTGAAACAAACCAATACAACTTTCTTTTATTCTTCTTTATGCAATCATTTCCATATGAAGCAAAAATGTTTATAACTTTCTTATAAAGTAAAAAAAAAAAAAAGTATCTGCAATATATTAATGAATTTTTTTATTCATGAGAATGCTTGCAAAGTTTTGTTTCTATTTCAGAGATGAATATTTTATTGAACAAATCTGAATAAAGTTGTTGCTTTATCTAATGTTAAATTACATTTTAATTAAAAAAAGCAATAATAAAACCAGTAATATATCATTATTATTAATAAACAGTAATAAATTGTACTATAAAGACAATCATAAACATATAAAAACCCTATTTACCATGTTTATAAAGACTGCCTTAATTTTTGTTCAATGACAATCCTGGTCTTCCTGATTGTCAATGCATAGCATACAGATTAATTACGAAAACTAGCCCAAACAAAAAAGCTGTCAAATAAATTTTTCCTTCCTGATAGAAATATTTAATTTGTTAGTGCAAACAATGGCTAAAGTGAAGGAGAGTAATAGTAACTGTAATGTCAGTGGTCAGTGATAAGAAAAGTCTGTATACACCAAGGCCAAATGCATTAAAGGGAATTACCAAAAACTTAGAAACAGCAGTATGATGGAAAGTTTTGCTCCCCTGCACTTTTAGAAACGAACTCAGTTGGATAATATGTGTGATGTAATAGGCAAAAAGGTGACATAGTTGCATCAGCCATGGGACATAGATATGATTTAACTCCATTTGATGAACAGAATGATAGTTTAGGTTAGAAAGATGGGGCACTATTTCTTAGGCAATAGTAATAAGGGCATATCAGAAATCTGTGAATTCTAGACAGATACTGAACCATGGAAGATTGGTGTCATATCACCTGGTCACATTTTTAGCTCTTTTGGTCAGATATTTAAGTTTTTATATGCAGCAGACTGCATTAAGCTATGTGATTCAGTTTGTCAACAGGATGTTGTACAAATTGGCGGTGGTTCCATAATGGCATAGGTTATGTTCTAATCCAACCCACAAGTGAAACGAGTCTGTCTTCTTGACAGGCATGATATACTGTTGTAGAGTGAACAAAAATTTTTCTTCCTCCGTATGAGTTTCGAATCTTCATCGTCAAGTGTTGTAGAGTAGTTTCACAGTGGAGGATTGTATTTCACTAAGTCGGTCCTAAAAAGGTTCACCAGTACAAAACGTTAGGAACTTGATATAATAGGTAATGACGCAGAGATCTAGTTGTGGTGGCTGGTACTTTTTAGTATCCGACTAACGGTCGTCCGACATCGACCGACTGACCAACTCACTGAGTGACTCCACTCGTTACTCTTACTGCTCCTACTTATTATAGGTGGGAGAGTCTATTGACTATAAAATAGGTGTGTTCCACTATAACATATACACAGATCTTGTAGCAAACTATTATTTAGCACCCCTTTATGTTCAAAGTATTTTCTGATGGTGATGGTTTGTTCCAATAAGATAACCCACTGTTCATGGATAACATGAAGCGGGTTCCAGAAAAATTCAACTTTCAGGTGCTTTATTGACCCTTATGCTAGCAGGATTTATAGCCTGTTAAGCATTTATGGGACATTGTAATTTCCATGCAGACAGCCAATAAATACAGTTCAGTTAGAGATAGCACTGAAACATGGCTGGATAGGAAATACCATGTAAGGATTCTAAACAACATAGCTATCATTCTTTAGGCAAAGGGAAAAGCTACATGTTATTAGTTACCTGTCACTAATTTTTGAATTTCAGTTTATTTAATTTTTTCCTACCTATCACCATTAGAACTAGTGTCATTGTATATTCAATCATTAAAGTGAATGAAACCATTTATGGATTTGTTTAATAAATCTTACCTGTGATATCAAGGGGTTATATAAACAGTTAGTTTCAGATAATTTCTCACTGAAGTGTTGTAAATGTATTATGTCCAACTAACTGAATTTATGAAATAATGATTATTATCCTAAAAAGCAGATTTAACAAAATCATTTTCTCATAGAAAAACATCATTCAAGAGTTTTAATTGAACAAATGTTGTTTTCTTTTATAAATTAACTGGTGATATGCTACCATCTGAAAAATATGTTTACACAGGTTTGACCATTTGTTAAGACTCTCGCTCTATGCTTCCTTGAATTAATTTTTCCAGTAGTGCTAACAATAAAGTTATTACAGAGAAGACTCATTTATATCACAAAAGAGTTGTATCTTAAATTTATTTTTGCTTAAATTAAGAGTAATAACTAATAAATGTAATAAAAGCAATTTCACTTGACACAAAAAGTAAAACTTAACCAAATGTAAAGAAAAGTTTAGAAAAGCTTATATAAATTCCATTTAAAAATTTGGTTTTGTAAAAATAAACTTTTCTTATAAATACTTTATTTTAATCCATGTAATCATGTGGTGGTGAGGATGTGAATGGACTACAGTTAATAATGTGAAAAACAGAATTGAAAATCCAAGTTCAAATTCCAGCTGACAATTTGTTTACCTTACACTAATAGCCTTGGAAAAGGTATGTATCCATCTTTTCTTCCCAAAGCTATGGATAAAATAGGAGAGCAGACTGATCTCCCTTTTCTTAGTTAGCAACCAGACTAGAAGGACAACAATGTATTTAAAAAAAAAAAAAAAACTATGGAGAAGGCAATGGAAATCAACTGTATTATATTTCTTAAAAATTGTCACAGAAGTGTACAATTTACAGATATAATGACAGATAGGGAAAAGGAAGCTGTGGCGAGCCATCATCACCCATGTTCTGAAGGGATATGTCACATAAGAAAGAGGAAACCATATGGCGATAAAATACCTTCAGTTAGTGATTCGTCATTAAATAAGGTTAACACAAAAAGGTAGAACTATCAAATCTATATGAAACACTAAATCTCATTGCCCCTCTCAATGAAAAAATAACTCTTAGGCAATATTGCCTTCACTTTTAGGTCACATAAGTCTTATAGTAACTAAGGTGTTAGGAATCGGTTCCTTGTACTAAAATGTGTGAAAGGTCAAAACATTTGTGAATTCACTACTTGTTAACATCTCTAGTGTGATCTTATGTTTCAATTCAACCCTTCAGGAATACCACTGTAGAAGACATACAAAAAAATTACCTTCCAACAGAAGTCTTCAAGTACTGGTGATAGTTTTATCAACCGGACCACTCGGAGGACCTGAAAAAGAACAAACAGATTTAAGTAATGATATTTATGAGTCTGAAGAATTGGTAATTTTTTATATTTTAGTTAAACAATATGAAAAGATAAAATTTAGGACAAAATAATTTAAAATTAAAATTTCTTTATAAACTATTTTAATGGTTTATAAAAGAAAAATTAGAAAATATGAAATCATTTGATATAATAACGAATATATATACATACATACACACATATATATATATATATATATATACACACACACACACACACACACACACACACACACAGAGGGTGTAACAGCAAAATTGTTCAAATTGTGTAACAGTAAAATTGTCCAATTGTTAGATTAAGCTTTGAACCATTGTATCTTAGAAATGATTAAAGATATCTTACTGGAATTCTCCAAGGTTTTTATAACACTACTGGACTCTACTTTGAGCAATAAGAATGTATAATTATTCTCCAAGCTTAACAGAAGAATCATGATGGAAATGATCATAAACAAAAATGACATGTTCATCATTAATGAATCATAGCTAAGGATCGGAAGCTCATGAAGGATTGAAATAAAGTTCAAATATATATATATATATATATAATTCCAGGATCATTTTCCAACTTATTCAAGATGATCTTTGTGCTCTCTAACCTTCTTTCTTTCCTGGACTAACAAGGTGCATCACACATTTTACATATGATTTCATTTTCAAGTCTTTTTTCACTGTTCTTTGGACTGTCATAGCTGAAACTCCTCTTTCATGTGACAAACATCTTATGGATCGAGTTGGATCTTTTCTAATTGATCTCTTTAGCTTTAAGTTGAAACAATGATCTCTTTTCCTGTTGTGACCTCCTGATCCAGTTTTCCTCTCTACTGTTCCCTCTTTTTAAAACTTATTCACCATTCTCTTGATGGTTCTTGAATGGACTTTGAAGATGCAAGCCAGAGTCTGAATGTTGGTACCATTACTGAAACCCTGAATGAATTTTTCTTCTTACCATTACTCAATTGCAAAGACATTTGTGCTGATACAAGATGATTTTAACCTGTTCTAATTGAATAACTCAAAGGGTTTTTCAATGATTCTTATGACAAATGATATCAAGATAGCTAAACATCTTATCTGAAAACCTGGAAAAATAAGTTTAGTGGCTTTTTAGATATTAAACATTTTATGGGATGGAGAATTATGCTGTTACACTCAGTATAAATAAAATGATGGTTTGAACATCGTGTTGAAGCATGAAACAGACTGTTGCCACTTGATGTTGACCTCAGTGTCCACTTTTATATTTACATTCACTGTATCTCTGACATTGAGTATTTTTACCCATAAATCTAGCATATATTTTACCCATAAATCTAGCATATATTTTACCCATAAATCTAGCATATATATATATATATATATATATATATATAGTATAGTGTAGCGAAAGTTGCAGATCAATTCGCTAGTGTCATTAGTAAGTAACTATATAATTAATGTAAAATGAAAAAAATAATGGAAAGAGGCTAAAAGTTACAAAATAAAGCAAAATATTGATAACAATGACTACAGGTAAACTAAACTGTGTATATATATATATAAAATTTGTGTAATTCTAGTAAACAGCAAAGTTTTATACAGGTTTTATAACCAGCTATTTTACAAATGCTGGAACATTTATATAAAAGCAGTTTGAAAGTGAAAAACTAAACAAATATGTAACAAATTTATGTATATATTTTACAAGAAAAACAAAAACTTGTGTTTTTCAAGCATTTAATAACTGGAGAGAAATTTACTACAAGTATCATCAAAATGATTTACCTGAAAGTAAGTAAACTGTGTACGGTACAAACTGGGAATGATGTGAATCGAAGTGCCAATGGTAAGGACAATTTCAAATTTGTGCACAGATCGTTTTAAATAGCCTTGTAAGCCAAGGCACCAAATTTTGAATAAAGCCTCCAGATCAAACAATGCTGTGAACACTACCTGAAAATAGAATAGACAAGAGAAACTTAATTTCAATTTCGTTATATTTAAAGAGAAACATATCAGCTGGGAAAGTATATTTATGATACATTTATGCATGAGTCTACAAAAAAAATAGTTTAATGAATTGAGAAAAAGACAAAAACCTGAAAGCAATAAGTATTTCAGCTAATAGACTCGTAATAAAGAAACTTGTGAGTAGGTAGATAACTTCAATCTTTCACATAATAAATATTTTTTAGACAGTGATGTGCCAAAGTCATGGAATAGCTTTATTCCTTATTTTCCCCAGATGCCTGGTGCTGCCACCATTAATGTTTCTCTACATACATTAGCAGTAACATAATGACTAAATTATAGTCAATATTTAGTAAGTTTATTTTGGGCTTCATTGTTATATTCATTTTCTATATGTTGAGTAGCCTTAAAATATTGCTGATTAGAATAATTTTTTTACAAAACCACTTCTAAAAGTATTTTTGCTAAAAAGATGAAAATATCATAAAATAATTGTTCTATTCCTTTTTCTATTGATGAAAGAAAGAAGACAGATGTACATAACTTGAAACTCAGTATTCTGTATTCCATATCTGATTAAATCACCAAGAAAGTCCACCCTTAAAGATTGGCATTTTAATATTAAGTGAATTTCTCTTTTATACATCATATCCTTTCAAGACAGGATGATCATGGCTCTTCACAGCTTCTTGTGTTTTGTTATTCTAAGTAAGTAACTTTTGCCTTTTTTCAACTCACTTTGTCCTTCTGCTTATCCATTCACTCAAACTGATTAAGTTACTGCTTTTGCATTGCCTCTCCTGCATTTTTTTGTACAAACATATTTTTGTATTATCATATCTATAATTACTTTCCTATAATTTTTAATAATTTTCACAGTCATATTTACAGATATGAGCATCAGATTTGTCAAAAATCTGAAGTAAAAGCTAACACAAAAAGTAAAGAGTGATATAAGTAAATCTAGTAGCATAAAGAAAAAAATGAAAAGATTTCAAAATGTTGTACAATGTACAATAAAACTAATCAAGTGCACAGTTTCAAATCTGATGAATGAATACAAATGTACTTTTCTGGTATGGTTAATGTAATTTCCCAAGAATCAGTTTCTTTTAGTGTTGACAAATTTTATAAGACATTTTGTCATCTTTAATGAATCCAAAAAGAAAACAGTGTAATACTTTTAGTGTCTCAGATAATTAAAATAAAAGAATGACTGTCTTACCTCAGCATAATAGAAGCTATCAAGTTTATGATCTGGATCAATTTTATCATGATCAAACGTCAAGCTGGCTGCTGTAACAGCATTCATTAGAACCAACAACAGCACAGTGATGTGGAAGACGTTAGAACGGAGGATTCGCTGGAAGATAGGTGGTGCTCGTCCCTGGGCCTTATCTTCATCAATGAAAACCAGTTTCCAGGTTAAACCATCACTCTGAATTACCTGAGATATAAGAGATTATAAAATTATTTTCTAGTGTAATAATATCCATGTCAAATTAAGCATATTATTTTTTTCATTTAAAAATAAAATATAGTAAAATTATAAAATAATTTGATTTTTGTAGCTTTTCATAAATTTTTGAATAAATTGAAGATGTGTTTTCTGAAATACAACAGAATTATTATTTTCAAATATATCAGCAGTCAGGCCTTAAATGTGAATAAGCTTTCACTAAATAACTGAAATGGTAACAATGTAAAAAAATAAAAAATTCATCTGCTCTCCAAGAGAAATATAGATTCTCATCATCAAAAGTTTCTAACATTTGCCTTTTTAAGAACTGTGAATATATTGCAATCTAAGGTACATACCATAGTGCAATGATTAGCAAGCTCATTTTAAAAACCAATTCACAAGCGTTGTGGGTTCAAACCTTATTGGGTCCCTTATGTCAGACCAAACTAAGTCCAATAAACTATTCTAGTCTCTCTCTTCATATACAAAATAACCAGAGAGTATCAAACACAATCCCCCAGCTATGGCTTAAATTGCACAGCAGACAGGGTTCTCTAATCAAGTTTGGCAACCTGTCTAGAAGAAGAAAAACTCTGAATTCAAAACAGTAACAACTGTTCCCAGCCCTCAGCAATGGAGATGGGAAGAAACAAAAAAAAATTAAAAAAGAAAAACATAATATACATATTTTTTTTACATTTCTGCAGAAGCTTTGTGAAGCATAAACCTATACCCACACCAAGTGATGCTGCTGCAGTTTCTGCAACAAGAAAATTTTTATGTGACCGTATTGCTAGTCTAAAACGAATTCCCTTACAGGATGATTACTATTTATGCATAACTAAAGGAAGAAGTGGATTCATGACTTTCTAAAGAGCATTAGTGCAAAGTGAATGTAAACTGTCCTAACCAGAGTTTGAACTTTGTTCATTGATTCCATTCTCTATGACATTAACTGTTATGCCACCTTTACTTCCTATATATACAAGATGGTAAACTACATATCAACCCCAAAATTATCATTTGAACTCATTCATATTAAATAATTTAAAATGATCCAGATAAAATACAAAACATTTTGAAATACACTCAGCTCAGAATTACATAAATCTCTGCCAAAAGAAAACATTTTATTGTACAATGATTTCTGGAACAGGACCATAGAAATCCACTGTGAACAATGATGAATAGTCTTTTTCAGTAAGGTAGTTTCAAATAATTTCTTATATCAGTTCATCTGTATTGTTTTACAACTACTTGTAAAGAAAAATCTACTAGCTCAGAAATCAAAAGCAGTGTTTAATTGATGAAAATATGCTTTTTCAAAACATTATTTGTCAAAAGTAAGTTTTTATTTACACAAAAACTTACCTTTTTAATGTTACCTACACACAAAATTGTGTAAACTAATTTCTACAAACCTGAGAAGAATCAGAATTTGCATCACTGCCCCTAGGTCCCCACATAGTTTGGAACTGGACCCTTATTTCAGCAAATGTTTCAATTATCACAGCTATGAATACATTCTAAAAAAGAAACAAAACAAAACAAGCATAAAATATCAATTCATCATTTAGTCTTTTCAAAATACAAACAAATAAAACCATCTAACTGCAATGTAAAATTATTTCAGGATTGTATAATAATCCCTGTCTAGGTTAACAATGAGCATAACAGCTCTTTACTGCTCCCACTGACCAATGAGATAATTTATGGGAAAGCTGTTTGACCAAGTACTCACTTATCAACTATTTTCTGTCATGTTGTGACATACCAGTGACAATATATTTATAAAGATATTTGATGCGAGGACAAAGAGTAAGGAGAAAAAGATCCATGCCTTTCATAAGAGCATGAAATGAACATTAATAGCTTGGAATTCAAATCCAGTTCACCATTTCTGTTTTCCATGTCAATAACTACTAATGCCACCCATCATATCTAATGTTTTACTTATTTCATTTATCTTAATTTCTACTGCTTTTTATCACAATGCCTAGATTTTAATTCTACAATCATTAACAAGCAGCAAGAATCATAAATAAAGAGCCTCTGGCAAGATTTGAACTTGCATCCATTATCTGTGGAAAACCTGCCTTTCTGTAACACCAATTAGGTTACAAATGTCAAACATCAGGAGTCATCCAGATTTAGTCCTATATCTATATTCTTTATTTCGATGAATGTCAATACACTACCACCTTGTATGTTTATCTTTTACACAAGATATTAAATATTTTGATGAAGAAGTACCACCATTTATTACCAATTTTTTACTTCTATCCTGTTTATTAGCGATTATAGAATTATAATCTGGGATCTGTGATAAAAAAAGATATATTAACAAAAAAATTATAACAATTGACAATCCTTCATCTAAGAAATTAAAATACTATTAAACAATTTGTTCATATATGTTTTAAAAAGATTCATGACATAAAATATTTAATTATTAATCATGGTTGCTAAGTATCATTTGTGAATGAGAATGAGCTGCACTTGTAAATTACTACTGGTGTAGCTAAAATAAAAGCTGACATTTTAACTTGGATGTGAAACATTAAATGCATTAGATAAGCAAGCTAACTTCTGTTGTATCTCATTTATTTTTTTTATATTTCTTTTATATACTGAGTGCAAATAAAACTTCATTAGCAATATCCTAATTTTCAAAGAACTAGCAGAATGGAAACATTTTAGAATATTGAAAAGAGGGCTAGCAGTTTTTTTTTTGCTAGTTTTTCATTAATTATATTTTTGTTGCATAATGCTCAAGTAGTTTTAAATTCTACAGCAGCAGAAATCAGAAATCAAGAAATAAATTTTGGCCAAATTTAAACTCATGGGAGCCTGTCTAACATGGAGGATACCATAAAAATTTGGTTACAGAAACTCACCAGAAGTTGAAATTCAAGTAGCTACATTCTTCCTTACTTTTTTTCCTCCAACCATACTGTTTAAATTGAGTAGTAGTAGTCGTAGTAGCAATAGTAGATATACTAGTCTTAAGTTATATGAATTTATTAGAAGAAGCATTTACATTATTAATTTTTTTTACTCAATTTTGCTTTCATCTTAATTTTAAAGAAGTATTAAGGTTGTTTTATATTCTACAAATGTTAAGCAAGCAGAATAATAACTAACAAAATTAGGATGAAAGAAAAACTAAATCAACAATTAATGTTAATGCTTCATCTCATAAATTCAGTCAATCATAAGTTCTATGCTAACAGTTTCTTTTCTTGCACTTCTTGCTTGTGGAACCCTCTTCTGGCTCCATGCTTTCTGCCCAACTTTGGTCTTTAAAAATTTAAATGCAATGTCAATCATTATCTAATGTATTCATGATTACTTTTTTTATTGTTCTTGCTGCTTCATAATGTTTTCTGGTTTCTAATTCTTTCACATTCAGTAACCCTTTTGTGTCTTAGTGGATTTACTGTTTTGCTTGGGGTAAATTCAATTAAAATAAAATAGCCTTTCTGACAGTTTCTCATAGATAAACTGACCCTTTAAGAGAGAATAATTTATTGCATACATAAAATATTCTTTTAATGATTAAAAAAAGTTATAAATCAGCCTTTCCACATTGTGGTTGTTTTTTTTTCTTATTGGGCTAGGTGATCTTGGTACAAAAATTGGAGAACACAGTGGAAAATAAACTCACTACCAATTGTATGTAAATTCTTACTCTGCAGCAGGTGATCTATATTTTCTAGATGATTCTTAATGTTTTGTAGTTGTTGCTGTTGTGTTCTCTTCCCCACTTTCAGCATTGAACTCCTTTTTGTACAAGTATGCAACATATTTTCAATCAACAAATGACATTTAACTGAGGACAACAGTGTATATGCACAGTAGAAGCATATGTTGTCACCTTTTGTGTGTTGATGTTATTTCTCTGCTTTTAATAAAACAATTTATCCTTTAAGAACAGGCCTTGAACTTAGAATACACAAAAGATTGTTAGAGATTAAATGTAGCTCTTATTCTATAGTCCAAACCCTGACTAATTTGCTAACAACTTTCAAAACAGATTAGTAGAAGATATTCATTTTAGTCAGAGTAGTTAAAAGTAACTGTTTTTCCATCCTACTACTATAAAATGAAATAACTGCTAAATGACCAACAAATGTGAATTAAAACTTTTGTTCATTCTAATTCTAAAGCTTATATAGAAAATAGAAAAGATTCAAGCTGAAATCTTTAAAAATTAAATTGTTGTCCTATGATTTGAACATTACTTGATACAATTAAGTAAACATACAAAAGTACAAATTATTTTTGACTTGTATATAATAAACACACACACACACACACAAATACATTAAATTTTATTGTTTTTACAATGTGTAAGCCAAAATATTGAATTATTAAGTATAACTATTTTGAAACAATATATGATTACAAAAAGTCATTTTACTCTACTCATTTTATCATAGGTTACTGAAAGTTGAAGAGTGTATGACATAATTGATAAGGACACCAATTGTTTAATCTTTTCATAACTGCATTTTGTTTGCAATGCCACATTGTCAAGATGAACATTATAATTACTAAGCTTAGCTTCATACAGAACAAGGTGAGTTGAGTGAGGAAATTGTGTTAAGCCAATTTTCTAAGTCTGCTTACATTGAAAATTAGCATTTGAAATCTTCAGCTTAAACACTAGTGCCATTGGCAAATATATAACTATCTAATCTACTAGGCAAACCCAGGGTAAATATATTTTAAGACAAAATATATAGTCCTCATTTCTCCATTTTTTAAGTAACTATATTCAAGCAAACCACAAGAAAATATTATCTTTAATTGATTTTGGCTATTATTACATCATATTAGTTTATTTGTTCAAGTTGAGATATTACATCCTAAAATCAAAGTAGTTTAATATAATAAGTAATGAAACAGTCATATATGAATGACTATGTTGACTTTCAAAACAAACAGGTAAAAATTATGAACATTTAACCAATATCAACTTTGACCACAAAATCAAGTATAAAACAACGAGATTCCCATGAAAACTGAAATCGCTAGCAACTATTATTAGTTTGCTAAGCAAAATATTTTAAAAAAATAATTAAAAATTGATTTTTACTTGACTGTAGTTGAACAGTTTGCTGATAATTCAAATAAAATCACATTAATATTGCCATAAACATGATCACTTGATACCACATCTGCTAGTTATTGTCTATACTTTAGGCAAGTCTTTTAAACACACTAACACAATCATTTCATCTGTGCACATATAAGATCTACAATATTCAGCACAAATGGAGAAGAGAAATTTCTCACCTTGACCAGCCATGCCAGGAAAAAAATGAGAGAAATAAAATAGAGAAGGGAGCACCAAGAAGGCAAGCTGTCTACAGTGTCATACATCAAGAAAACCCATCCTTCTTGAGATGCAGATTTATACACAGTAAAGAAACTCATAGCTGAAAAGATATTAAAAAAAAGATAAACAAATGCATATTAATAACAAACATATTTCATAGCATTGTAAATTTTTTTAAATTTTTGATACTTTTCATACTTTCTTAATAAATATTTATATTAATAAATGTAATATACAAAATAGAAAATTATATAATACAAGGGGGTGCTGAAAAGTTTTCAGTCAAACTAAGAAGAGATTCAAAAAAACGTCCAATGTTTAATCATTGGTCAGATTTTAAGAACCAGCACCCCCTCTTATAGAATATAATAAAATGTCATATAGAATACAATAAAAATTAATTTATAATAAATATATATCAACATCAGACATTGTGATCCCACTGCTGGACAAAAGCCTTTCCAAAATCCTTCTATGGCAACCATAAATACGATATTCTCTACTATATCATTCGATCTTCTATCTGATACTTTCCTACTGTTTTTTGCCATCCATTAGACACTAATCAAGCAACCTTTTGCTATATCTGTTATCTTTTGTTTCAAACAGTCTTACACATTCATTAGACACTTTAAATTTTAATATTGGCAAGTTGTTTTTCATTATGACTATTTTCATTAAATACTTTCCAACCTCTCATTATAAATTATGTTACATATTTACACTTGAATTATTGTCCTCATCTTTGTTATTATTATTATCACATTTCAGCTGTTGTAGCTTCCAGCCTTCATCAGGTGCTTGTTGATTCAGGTAACATTCATAGGATTTAAAACTGAACCCTTCCAGTGACCATGTCTAGGGATATCTTATTTTTGTTTTCAGTTATTGCTCACCCTGTTTCCACTGGGTCTAAGTCTGCACTACCTGGATCAGGGATTGAACTCACAATTATTATGTCACCTAATTCATGAACCAACACTTTAATCTATTAGGTTATTGGCTGAGTCTAGAACTTGGATGCTTAAACCTACTCTGATTGTCATGATTGACTGCATTAACCAAGGCTTCTCTTTTCTTAATACTGCTGCTGTTGAAACTTTGCTGTAATTTCTCATTATTCATTTAATGGTTCCCATATTGTATTTATTTCTATGTGAGGCCTACTAAAGAGATCCTCATAGTCTAACATGTCCTGACTCTCCAGTGTTTTTCTGTCCAGTATTTTTAATTAATTCCACAGGAGCTGGTGTCTACACTTTTCCATCCATACATAATTAGCCACGACCGATTTCATTGTCTCGCCTCTAATTAAGGCTTATCAATGTTCCCACAGCCTTACATTTAGGAGGCACCTGGTTCCAACTTTGTATTCCTTGCCACTGCAAGATTTGGGATGCACACAGTTCTTGTCATGATTTCCTCCATGTTAGGTTTCTTGGCCAAGATCCCTCTCTAGAGTCAAGCTGCTTCTGAATATTATCCTGATGTTATATGGACTGCGGATCTTCTGAATCTTTCCCGATAAGCCTTTGATGTTAAGGGGACAGACTGTGCCAGTTTTCTGGTCCTCCTCCTTGACCCTTCTGTTTCTGTTTGCAGAAACTGATGTTATGTTTGCAGGACAGTTGTTATTCTGAAGGGTACATTTGATGCTGATTATTTCCTGTTGGTATGTGTCTGTGTCACCACTTATAATTTTTGCATGATGTTATAGGTATTACATCATCCCTTTCTTTATTTTGTATGGAAGATAGGAACTGCAGTTAAGGTATAGTCCAGTGAATGTTCATTTGTGATATACAGATGTCTTGAAGCCATTCTCTGTGCAAGTTATTGGTACATCCAGGAAAGCTAGCTGATTATTTTCATTCTTCCAGTGTTAACTGGATCAAAGGTTTGAGTTCATATGGTCCAGTATTATTTGTTCGGCTGGTGAAGCCAGAGTATGAAGGTGTCATCTAAGTATCTCTACTATACTGTTGGCTTTAATGATACTGTTCCTAAAGCCATTTCCTTGAAGTATTCCATGTATATGTTTACTATAACTGGTGACAACAGTGAACTCACAGCCAAGTCTTCATCCTCTTGGTACATGTCAGATCCTAGTTGGAAGAAAGTTGACTATCAAAACCTTATAGTGATACTTCTATCATCATACTGCCAACTGATATAGGTAATAATACAGAAAGATGGACAAGTTGGAATACTCCAAGAAATTGGCAAGTCTTGTTCTGTATAGTAGCCATAACAAGTTGAAAAAAAATATCCAACCTTAAAACCAAGAGGAATTTGTCACAGATCCTAAATAAGAACAAAGACTACTTAACACTTAATAAGTATAGACAGCTGACTCAACATTATACCAAGCTGCCATATATTTGCAAAATTCACAAAGTTGGTATTACATTGAGATTTATAATCAGCTGCAGGGGTTCAGCATGCCAACTACTGAGCAGATTTCTGGTGGATATAGTAAACCCATTAACAGGGAAGTCTTTGTCATATTTTAATAACTCTAAACACTTTATAGAATTGATCTGAGGGGCCCCCCATTTATAAGTCGAATGGTAAGCTTGGATGTGGTGAGCCTGTTCACCAGAGTTTCTATGTATGAGGCTCCATTGGTGGTTTGAAAATTGTAATCAGACCCATTTCTTGGTGAACATCCTAGCATCCCTATAGATAACACTAGCATTAGAGCCCGGCGTTGCCCGGGGATATAACAGTAAGAGATAGATCAAGTATCCACCATCATAAAGACTGAAAAATAAAATTGACAAAGATTATTGTTTAAGGTTGACGGACACGCATGTCATGTTTTTTTTTTTTTTTTTTTTTTTACGAATTGGTCAAACCCAAACTCAAACAAAAACATTGTTTTCAATCGTTATGAGTCTCGATTGAATAGAATAATTTTATAAACAATTGTCTTGTAAATGGAATTTTAAAGCATTCTGAATGTAAAAAATAAAGAAAAAAGTGTGCAAGACAATAAGAAACACTACATGCCAAAAAAAAAAAAAAAAAAAAAAAAGGAAGTTTTGTTGAAATCGGTTGAAAAATGTAGGTAGCCTTTCTGTAATCTTTTTAGTTTTACAATTTATGATTTTTTACTTATTGAATACAGTAAAAAAAAATTGCATATTTTGCTTGTGGTGATTCATAATTAGAATTCTGATTTGAATATATTTTCCACTCATTGTTTCTAATACAAAAAATATTAACTTTATTTGGGTTTATTAATTATGATCTAACAAATCTTATTCATTTAGTAGCCTTCTCTGTAATATATAATAATCTTTTACAATTTATGATTTTTACTTATTGAACACAGTAAAAAAAATTGGACACCATGTGTATTTAAAGTAGTTTCCGTTCTGGTTATTATTTTTAGTTAGGACTTGTGTATGTTTAGATTTTCATTATCTTTCCCTAAAGATAAAGAATTTATTCCGATGATTGTATTAAATGCGATCAGTAGAGATCGTTAGATTATTGTTTAAGGTTGACGGACACACATGTCTTAATTAGTTTTTTTTTTTTATTTTTTCTTAATTGGTCAAACCCAAACTCAAACAAAAACATTGTTTTCAATCATTATGAGTCTCCCAATTGAATAGAATTTTATTATAAATAATTGTCTTGTAAATGGAATTTTTAAAGCATTCTGAATGTTAAAATAAAGAAAAAAGTGCAAGAGAATAAGAAACACTACCTGCCCAAAAAAAAAAAAAAAAAAAAAAGAAAAAAAAAGTGAAGTTTTGTTTTATCGGCTGAAAAATATAGGAAATCCGATGTGAGTTGTCCCCCTTCCATTTTCACGATGTCTCTTAATCGTGTTTTCAAATTGATTTTGTGCAAAAACAATTATATTTTCCCCATTTTTGGAGCTGTTAGAACCACCACAAGGTAATTTTATGTAGTCCTGTGAAGTTTTGTTGAAATCGGTTGAAAAATGTAGGAAATCCGATCCAATATATAAACGTTACAGACACACACACACAAACACACAATCTGCGTTTTATAATAAGTAAGATAATGGAAATGTTGGTATATACTGGATAAATTAATCTGTTGTGGAAGTCTTCTCCTGCATGTTTCAAAAAGTCTGTTACTATGTCATTTTCCCCCCAGTGTTTTTCCACATATGCCATCAAAATAATGTAATTGGTTTTCTGCAAAACCATTCAAGTTCCTCAACTGAACTTTTCAAAAATGGTATATTCACTCTAAAAATAATTTGAGTGAAATCTTGGATAATAATCAGATCAGTGTGTGTGTGTATATATACACACACAGATACACGAAAGTGGGTGCTAAAATCTTCTTGGATTGATTTACTAAAATCTGACCAAATTACAAAATATAAATTTTGGTTTTAATTTCTTATTGGTCAGGCCAAGGACCTTTCAAGCACTTCCTAATAGATTTATTAATTGAATAGAGCACACACACAATTATAGGAAGATAAAGAAAAAGTAACTTATCAGATAATTTCTAGGAATTTATGGTTACAATCTGACAATAATAATCTCTTGTTCTTATCCTATGTTTTTAAAAGCAGATATATGTCTACCTTGTTATTTACACTAGTAAATTTGACTTCTTCATATAATCTTACATAAGAAATCTCTGAGTCTTGATTTTTTATGAATGTAGTGGTCAGTCAATAATTACTTTTCTATAAAGGTCTTATATATATACCATAATAATCTATAAACTTGATTAATTTTTTTTACTTAAATTTTAAATAAGAAATCTAAAGCAAAAATGAAATTTATATAAATGCAAAAGTTATACTTTGTAAATATACATGGAGATTTAGATAGAATACTTTTGCAAGAATAATCAATAGGTATACTATACCAAACATGTCAAATCCATCAAAGCCACGTTGTTTACGGGTCAATTCCAGTGCCATACATTCCATTCCTGCAGGACACTGGTAGCCAGAACCTCTATCTGGAGAGCAAAATGTATCTGGGATTGCTAATGACTCCAAAGTAAGATTTCTGAAATAGTATATAATTATTTTATATATAAATATACACAAATATACATTGATTATAAGTTTAAAATGAGCCCGTGTTATAACATATATAAAACACGGTATTTGCCAGTCAATAAAATGCATTATTTACAAGGATATCTGAATAATTAACACTCACTGTAACTAATCCAACCCCCATAGCTGTCCATTTTGAGTATAAGTAGATAATCCTTAGCTATAATAACAACACACTGGACATGAATATTTGGATAGTTTGCATTTTCTTTTTTTTTTCTTTTTTTACTTATATGCTTTATCTGTTGATAAATAGGCAATTCTAAAACAGAATTGCTTTATTTTGAACTTAATAATGTTGCTTTAAAATGTTTCTGAGTAAATTGTCATCTTCAGTAGTAACTGATTAAGCAGATTACTAAGAGAAAATTTTAACAAATATTTGATACTTCATTAGATCAAAATTTCTATTCCTTTCAAATAAAGTATCAAAAGAGTCGTTTTAGCTGATTTACTAGAAAGAAATAGCAGTTTACTGGAATTCTGTTAAAAATTCTAATTCAAGATTAAAATACAAATGCTATGCTAAAATGACCAAGAGTAAATAAAGCATATCTCACTTGCATTTATAATGACCATCACCAGGTTTTTGTACAAAGAATAAAAATGCACTACTGAATATGAATTATTGCTTACCGAGGGTCAGTTCCATTCACAACACAGTGATGTTTCATCTCTCCAAAAAACTGAACTCCTAAGATGCCATATAATGACATAAAGAAGAGGAAGAATATTGTTACATTGAAGATTTGTTGACTTGAACGTCTGGAAAAAAGATAAAAGCAAACATTGATAAATAAAATTTTACCAATGTAATATTCATCAATAATAACTTAACAGCAATTTTAAAATTAAAGTAAATTTGTGTAAACATTTATAAATATTTTGCAGGTAATTTTCTTACTCTCTAATATTTAGAAAGATAATTATTTGGGCTCTAAAATCTCAATGTTTTTGTTAGGCAACAATAAATTTTATCTGAATTTCTGAAAGAAAATGTTACTACTATACATTCTTTCAGACTATTTTTCTTGTTGTTGCAGTCTTTATCTTAATGGTCTGGTTTAATGCTGTTAAGCAAGAGAGTACTGTGTATAAAACATTATGATGATTAAAAAGACAAAGTGTCTGAAATAATCACTAACTACAAAACAGAAAGTGTTCAATGTTCCAATTTAAGACTTATTGCAAAAAAAAAAAAAAAAAGCAAAAAACAAACTTTTCTTAAATTCTAATAGGATTTTAACACAAAATATGAAATGATCATATAAATTAAAAAAATTTCTTTCTTTGAAAAAAAATGCTCAAGATGAAACAAAACAATTTTTCACAAAATTATCACATAAATTAAAAAAATTAAAGCAATTATCTGTTAGCTGCTATTCAGGAAGTTAATATTATAAAAGATATTTCTATGACTTTATTTAAATGGTTATTTGATAATTGTTTTCTATATTAAAAAGATTATAAATGTTAAAAATCATTTTTCTAAAGGCATTTCAAAATCTAAGAAAATTAAACCATTACTAACATGAACTATTCATATTTAATTCAAAAAAATAAATCTCAGAAAATAATTCATTTCATTTTGAACAATGTACAAAACGATATTTTTCTTTATAGTCTTAATTCTTTTTTAAAATAAAATGAATTGAAAAAACAAAAGAAAAAAATAAGAATAAGGAAGAGAAATTATAAAGTTAAATAGTCATTTTAATTTTTTCTCTTATACCAATAACTTCTTCTAATTTCTTCATATTTATATTTTATCAAGCCACTGAACCTGGAGTACCAGTTTTAGGGCATAGCACTATAATTTAATGACCAAGAAGAATTACACAGCCTAAGCAGAATAACAATATTCATTTAAGTAACTTTATACTAGTCATTTGTAGTTTTTCCTTGTTGGTTTGTTCTATTACACAGGCAATTCTGAAATAGGAAATTTACTCAAATGTCCAGAGATAGTGTATCAGCAAGCAAGCAAATCTCAGAGTCCAACAAATTAGTATTGGAGAAACAACTCCTTATAAAAGTAATCAATGCCTGTAACATGATTACTTAAAAAGATAATAGGAGTTTCTGATAAGAGCAATAAAAAAAATTTAATGTGGACTTACTTGAAGATTGAATTAATTCTTGTCTTGGGTAATTGGAACTTAAGGAAGACTCTGAACACACGAACCAGGATGAGAGGACGAGGACATCGAAGGATTGATAAGGAAGTGTAATTTGAAATGATTTTACTCATTTCAAATATCTGAAAGAATAAGAATTATTGAATGACCAGTGGAAATATCAATGACAATAGAGTATTGAATTGGAAGCTGCAAAGATAAGTCTGATCATTAACCCAACTAAAGCAAAAAAAAATTTTTAAAAATCAAAAATTTGTTTCATTTAGAAAATATTTTTCAGCATATGATTCTACCAAACTATTTAATCTACTTTTAGAAACTAACCTAATTTTTATGAAATCTATGTTTTCTAAATTGTTAGGGATTAGGAAAGTATTGAAACATGCTTTAATAACTGTATAGATTTAGAAGGGATTAATAATAACTTATGATCAATAATAGGTTGATTTAAAAATTGGAGTTTGAAATCATCAGATTAGCAAATCTTTTGTTCTTTATTTGGTAAAAACTACCTCTCATTTTAGTTTTCTATTTTCAGAGCAGTGTAATATATTCAGTGCTTGACAGAAAAGTTTTGGATAGCAATTTTAAGAGACAAGTCAGTGATGCATATAGTTAAATACATAAACTAGTTATATAACTTAAAAGTAAACATCATGATTACATGTCTTTGACCTTAAAAAACATAAGGTAACCAGTGGGAAAAAAAATAGCATTTTTCTCTCAAGTCTTTCTTCCCAACTTTTCCATGCAGTCACAATTGATCAATTTGAAATTATTTAATCAAGATGACTTGAAATAAAGGACCTAGTCTCTTATGCGATCTTTCACTCCCCATTCTATGAATGAAGAAAAACAATATCACTCAACCACAGCTACAAAAAGTGTGTTGTATCTTCTACTATACTTTAATGACTTGACAGAAGATCATTGGCCACTATATGTCTTTTTGTTATATTACAAGATACTTTGCTTTAAAAAGTTGAACTTTTTTTTAGATGCTTATACTTTTCTCAAAATCTATTAAAACATAAAATATTTGTAACTGGCTCCTGTCAAGGTTGACAAAGAACATAAGTTTTTTTATTCTTATTTATACCTGGATAGTAAGGTAGCTATGGGAGAATGGTTTGTTCAAGTGCTCACACGCATTCCCTCTTTTCTGTCAACCATTATGGCATACCAGCATACTTTTGTTTTTAGCAAGATTTCTGTTGACAGAACAGAGCACAGGGACATGGATTCACATTTTTCCCAAATGTTAATTGAACACAAGCAAACTTAACTAAGATCTCACCTCAGATTAAGGGTTCCAATTTCTGTACTGATAAACTGATGGAACATAAAATTACAACACATTGAAGAACAATGCTGATTTTGACCTGGGTACAATATGTGCATGTTAGGGAGTAGTAGATATTCTGGTGACAGTTTTAGTCTTCAACTATCTTGTAATGTAGTAATGCCCATACCAGTGTACTGTTTGTGTCTGAGCTTTAGACAATGATACATGCTGTAATAAGGTTCAGTGTTTCTGGAATGAAGAGTTATCATTATTCACATTCAGACTAATATCCTTATCTTTCGTGTTATCATATTTTGTGTGTTGTACCCTCTGGATTACATCAGGTGTCTGTTGATCTAGGTTCTGTGGGAAAAGAGACTAGTGGATTAAAATATTGGTTCATGAATTTGATAGTATAATAACTGTGAGTTCAATCATAAAGTTGAGTAGTACAAACTCAGAATTAGTGGAAACAGAGCAAGCAATAATTAAGTAATACTAAAAAAGAACATGAGACATCCCTAGATACAGAGGAATAAGAACAATCTATCCTCATAGATTAAATAAAAGGTTCAGTTTTAAATTGCTTGAAAGTTATCCAAATTAATAGGCACTTGAATTAAGCTGGAGAACACAATAAATATTGTGTTAATAACAACATAGATGATGTCATTAGTTCAAATGTAAATAAGATTCAGTGCATTGAAAGAGTCCAGTGCAAGCATGTATCATGTTACAGAAATATGCACATTCCCTTTTGTTCAGTTATTTGAATGTTTTTTGGAAATGTTTGGGTTGTAGGCCTTCAAAATGTTAGATGGTCATTTCAACATTTCAATTTCTGTACATATTGGATATGATGCATTGATGACAACAGTAGTCAAATGAACATTTTACACTTGCCAAGCACATTCTCGATAGTCACATATTACAGACTTTCACCAAGACCGATATATTGTAAGGGTACATAAAATCCACAGCATAGATCAGAACAAATACAGCCCCAGGAGCATCAACACAGACCACTGGAAATTGTTTACTTATGGTAGAATGATATGCATGTATGCTTCAAGCCAGATTTTAACTTATACCATATTATGCACATATCCAGTGTTTCAAAAGAGAGTGCTCTTTAATAAATCAGTGGTAAGAATAAGTTCTGCCTTCATGCAATTGATGGTCATTTTTATGTGTGACATAGTGCTGGGGAGCAATATCTTCCAGTGTGAATTTACACACAACACACAGAACCATGGCATTTCATTGAATTGTGCTGTGTAGATCCAGAAATTTCTGTTCTGCTGCCATTCCAACAGAATGATGATGTTCTGTTCTAGCAGGAAAATGCCTATACTACTCAACACGCCCAACAACTTTCCTAGCTAGTACAATCACCAGGCTAGTCCCTCAATGAATGTAGATGGGACAATGGCTGACTCATTCAGTTAGCCCACCTACAACTTTTGCTGTATTGCATCAACAAGTGCAAGAAGTATGGAATAATGTATTGCAAAATGGTAACGTTAAATGCCTGTGAAAGTACAGGCCTGTGTTAATAACCAAATAGGACATACAGTGCCTTTATATGGAGTGTGAGTACTGTTGATATGCCTCTTATTTTGGAGCCTGTGTGTATAATGATCTGTATCATAGATCATTTACTATGTTTTATCTTGAGTAAAGTAAAACACATATTCAGAGTGTTGCAATTTTAAGTTAGAGTATTCTGCAAAACATTGACTGAGCTACTAAATCACATTACTGCTAATTACATTAAGATTGTATATTGCTATCCAGTTTTTGAAACTAACTGCAAACACTCAACACCAACAGAATATCAAAGTTCAAATTAAATATATATCCAACCCCTTTTAATAAAAAAAGCTAAGATAAAAAATTACATTGCTCTATTATTATATAATTTTGAAAAATGTCTTATCACACATGTGATTCCTTCCTGACAATTTTTACATCTTTTATGTTTTAATCATATTTATTTAGCTCAAATGTAAACACCACATGATAAAAAATAAAGTATTATCAAAGATTATTTCAAATGTATTACATTTTAAATTTGGTACCACTATCTTTATGGGATGCAGTTTTCAAAATGGATAGATTAACAAATAAATGAAGTAATGTTATAAACTTTCTGATCTTATAATTTTTATTTATTTATTTATTTTTTTTAACTTCAATCAATTTTTAAAATAAATTTTAGCATTTGCTACTTTTTCTAAAGTCTTTCATATATCCATTAAAGTAACATAAAATTTCAAAAACATTTCCCATTTAATGTAATTGTTGAACACATTTAAAAACAAAATGAATTTAAAAATAAATTTATAAACAAAAATAATTTACAAACTTTTAAATCAATGTAATATGATGGTGTTTCTTTCTCCAAGAGGTCTGTATGGATTCCAACAAAAATTTATCTATAATCAATATGCTTACCCAACATTCTTAAAATAAAATTTCATTGTCATTAAAAACAATCAATTAAACCTGGGTATTAGCATGATTTTCATAATAAACCTATAAAAAGTGAACTAAGTCATGATAATTCAGTTCTCATGTCTGATTTTGTAGCTCAAATTGTCCTATCTTTTAATCAATATATTCTAATCTTTCTGAAATCTTTTGACCACTTGAGAGTGGCTGACAAGATACCTCATGAAAAATGCATTTTACTTGAATCTTCTTCCTTTGGTAGTGAAAGAGATAATGACTGAAAACAATTTAATCATGATGATATAAACAGTAAAATAAATGATTGTCTTAGAACAGCTGATGAGATATCTTACAAGAAATTTGTCCTTTTATTTTGGCACTGAATCAGATTATGATTCAAGACAATTTATAGATGGTGATTAAAATATTAAAGCAATTGTTATTCTGAAATGTTTGATGAGATATATCACATGTGGATATTAATAATATATGAAGTGAAAATTTCCACAAAGATAATTTAATTTGGATAGCACAAAAATTTACAAAGGCTATATAAGATAAGCCAAGATATCACAGAAGTACAGACTTGTATTCATATAGTGATTTATTTACAGAAGATATATTCTTGGAAATACTGCTACTCAAGGAGCAGCATTTTGATTATAAATTCATTGAAAGACAAAGGTTCTGAATGCATATGCAATAAAGCAAGTGAACAAAAACTATAGATATAAATGGTACAGATACATTTTAATACATCCATATACCTGTAATATAACAGAGAGCCAAAGACAGAGGACCATGAACCCATCAAACTGACACCATCGATCTTTCAAGTAAGGTACTTCTCCCTGCACAGGTAAAAATATAAATAAAATTAAAACACATTTTCCAAGTCAATAGGAAAAGCTAACAAAAATATGACATTATAAAGATAAGAAATTTCTATTTATAATGTTAACAAATACACTTTGCAAAGTTTAAGAACTTGAACAATTGAAACCATAATACTACTTGTAGTATGAAAGAATATTATCAGTAATACTATAATAAGATGGTAACGTTATTTACATTATTTGGACTATTGTCCTCATCTTTGTCGCCATATTTATCACGTTTCAGCCGTTGCAATGGTTGGAATGTCGAACTGAACCCTTTATTTCGCTCACTGGGGTAGACTATTCTAGTTCCATATGCCTGTTAATTTTCCCTCTGAAAGTTCTCCACTGCCTTAACCGGGTATTGAACTCACACTCTTTGGGTCCTGTCACTGGATCTAACCAATGCCACTGTGCCATGTGTCCTTGAGGACATCTGGGTATGAATTTCTGGGTATTATAAACCTAATGTCTTCAGCAACCATTTTTACCAGTGCTCATATTGCAATTTTTGCTGTTATCATTGCATGTTTTTACCAGAGCTCATATTGCAACATTTTGTTGTTATCATTGCTTTTCTCTGGCACTCCTTATTACTGGTTACCATATTGTATTTATTTCTATGCTTGGTCGGCTCAGGAGATCTTTGTGGCCTAGCATATGTGCTGATTCCTTAAGTTTCTTTAATTTTCCAATGGTGTTCCCTGTCTATGATCTCAACATGATCCCCACAGAGAGGCGGTGATCTCCCTTCTCTCTCCATATGTGGTCAGCCATGACTGATTTTTCTACTTCCCCTTGTGTTACAGCTTTCTGGTGTTCTTGAAACCTTACCTTGAGGGGGCGACATGTCTCTCCTTTATATTCCTTTCCACAGCTGCACGGGATAGAATATACACAGTCTTTAGTCATGTTCTCCTCTATGGGGGGGGGGTCTTACACAGGAGAGATACCTCAAGTGTCGTCAAGCTTTTGAAGGTTGTCCTGATGTTATATGGACCGCAGATCCTTTGTATTTTCTCTGATAACTCCTTCACATAAGGCAGGCAGACTGTTTTCTGAGTGTTGTTGTACACCTCCTCTTGTACCCACCCATCCCAGTTTTGGGGGCTGCTGTCTTGTACCCAGGATAGTTGTTACCCAGGCTGAAACGTTGTGATAAATATGGCGACAAAGATGAGGACAATAGTCCGAATAATGTAAATAATGTACATAATACCTCATCTCAGAAATATAGACAGACTCAGAGTAATAAGAAATTGCTTTTTAGATTTTTTTCTAAAATATAGAATTTATAAATACTATATGTAAGAGTAAATAAAGTATATAGGATTTAATAACCAGGAAAAAATATTACACAAATTATTAATATTTAATAATTGGATATTTCAATGAATTACAAGGATTTTGAAAACTTATACAGAGTAAACAAATATGAAAAAAAAATACTTGTTGCTTCAGGAACAAGGATATGGGTGATGACAAGAATTTTAACAATGTTGATTTAAAAAAAACTATTTTTTTTTGTTGTGTAGAAGAAAAAACAAATTTTTTCTCTTGGGTGTAGGAAAAAAAACACATTCTTGTGAATATGGAACAAACTTTGGCTTCAATAGTTGAAATTCAACAATAACAAAAGAAACAACAACAACAAAATCAACAGTTGCTAGAACTACAAAAACAGCATCAGGAATTGTTGGATATAATTTTGAAGAAAACAAAAAATTCTTCAACATTTCTTATGCTAGATGCTGTCCAAAATACCATATCAGAAATTGTATACAATCCTGATAAGGGATTGACTTTTTCTGCATATTTTCATATATATGAATAAATATTTAGTCAGGAATGAAGTGGCTAGGAAAACAAGAGAAAAATAAGATTGTTGTTGAGGAAAATAGCTCTAATAGAGAATGAAAAATACTGCAACTACATATTACTGAAAAAAAAAAAAAAAAAAGGTAAAAAGAAAATTTGAACAGATAAAAATGCTATATGATGTTTTCGATATGCCAGCACCATAAGTTGTGGAACCTACAAGAACAAGTTCCAGGAAAAGAAAGCATGCTGAAGAACTGGAAGTGGGTCTGAGACGGAAACACTACAAAGTATGTTGCTGAGCTCTCCAGAAAGAAGAGGGGGAGATACTAATAAAAAACGAAATATTTATAAAAAGTATTAATCTCAAAAGGCACGGGATGTTGTGGAGTAAATAGTACATCCCTGGTGACTATATGAAATAGTCCATAACTATATATAAAAAGCTCCAGGTCAGTTGTAAGAAGAAAGAAGCCATTGGAGTCAGTCTTCAGACTAAGTAATACAGGCATCATGACAAGTTGCCAAAGCATTACTTCTATTATGAATGCTACAAAGTACATTATAACATAAGTATGATGTAAATGCACTGCTCATGCTTTTACAATAGAAAAACATTGAAAATTAAAACCAAAAGGATTTCCAGTGATCAAGAATTAAAAATTACTGATAGAACACGGCTATTATGCATTGAAAATAAAAATGAAAAGCATTGTCAGAGGTCAGAAATTAAGGCAACCATTGTTGATAGAGTAGGTATAATTATTTTAATCTTGTTTTACTTTTTAGAAACCTCTGATCATAGGTAAAAAAAAAAAACAATAACAGTAAAAGTATGTTAGTTACCAATAGGTTAATTACTGAGAAAAAAGTAAACAAATAAAATAACATAAAAAATAAATAATAATAATCTCACCTTCACAATACCTCGAATATGCATCTCAGCAATCATTTCAGCCGTGAAAAGAAAGGTGATAAGAAGATCTATGATAAAAGTTACGTATTTCAATTCTGGGTAGTACTCAAATGTCTTTGGTGTATTCATACTGACAGAGATCATACTAATTAGGGCACACAGACGGAACACCCGGCGAACCCATGCTTTGTTCACCCAGTCAATGTCTGTGCTGTCATTGACATTTTCATCAGGACCATAATCAGATAATGCCATATTTTCACGAAAACTTGTTTTTCTGTTTACAAGCATGGCTGGCTAGTGGGTGAGCTAAGAAATTAGAAAGAGGTCACAACTAGAGTAAACAGTAAAAGAGATTTAGTTTTAGCTTTGAGATGTCACATCGACTCCTTAGTGGAATCATCAGGTTGAGATCTTCTCTGAGTATCCTCATTTTCTCAAAAATATCAAGTTGAAGACAAAATATGCATTTATACCAAAATTTTTTTACAGATGAATCTGAAAAATAAAATAAAACAACTTCAGAATAACATTCAATTTTAACTTTTTACATGAGTTATTTTTTTTATAGCTTATCAACTGTTTGTGGTTTATTTAAAGCTGAAACATTTTTGATTGTAAGAATGATTTTCTTTTGAGAAAGAATATTGCATTAACAATTTTTGAGGATTGATAACAATGATTTTTCCAGTTACAGGTCTTACTATTTAAGCCATAGCTGAAGAAAAATTCATACCTTTCCCAAGAGTATTTGCAAGGAAGGCATTAAAAAGGGGTTTTCTACCACAAAAAAAAGTATCAACTTGAAATATATAAGGTGGCCAATCAAGATAAAGTAAATTTACATGGCTAGTCATTTTAGCTAAGCAATAAACAATTCTATATAAATGTTGGTCATCTATTACTTCACTAATGCAAATAAACAAATTCATCAAACTATAACATTTTTTGTATAATGCAACTCTAATTTAAACCTTTAATTCTGATACAAAATTTCTTATGTCACATACAAACAAATATGGTAACTATCAAGTCTTTGGTCAGATAAATGAGATCCAAGTCAATAATACTGATATTTTATTTAAAAGGCTAATATGTCTGTTACTAGGATTTTTATGTAAGTGTTTTATGTAACAGAGTGGTATTAGTTCAATTCTTCTTCTTCTTCCTCTTCCATGTGAGTGATCATGGCTCTCCATAACTTCCTGTCCTTTGTTGCTTTTTGTTAGGTTTGTTAGTATTCCAACCAATTACACAAATTCATTACATAGGTTATTTGCTGCTTTCCTCTGTCTCTCTTTCCTTCAATAGGTCTTGTGATCGTGTCAAATTCGCCATGTGAAAAGCCGGACAAGCTTAATTTATTGTTTTAGACAATGTCTCAGGGAACAAACAGATTAAGTGTAATCCATGATAAAAACAGTTTCACTGAGTTTCTGCAAAATTATCCAAAATGCATCAGTAAATAAAAAAAAGTTTAAACATATATTGAAATGAGAAAGTTATTTTTGACAGTTGGTTATTAAGAATTGAAAGATGAATTTGAGATAAAGGTAAAATCCAATGCATGTATTTTTATTTTTTAATTTATTCAGTTATAACTGTTATAGTCAATGCAAAAAAATGCCAAACCCAATTTCAGTGTAAAAATGTTGGTAGTTTGAATGAGTTATTTTTCATAGCATTGATGACCACAAAAATAACAAAGGTTTTACTAATTATCGGTTGGAAAAAAAAAATGCAGTACCAAATATGAGCAACAACTTTTCCAAAATATTTACCCACAATTGAATTTTTCAACAAAATTAGTTTCAGAAATCCTATTGCAATTAATCATATACATTCTTTTCCTTGTCATCAGTGTCTCCTCAATTACAAATAATAGTAATTAATAGTAATAGTTGTAATTATTATTCCATTTTGAATAACAGGAAAAAAAATGAACAATTGACTACAAAGCCTTAAGATAATTTTTTTTGTTTCACAATGTTCTGAATTTAAAACAAGACAATAATATTCAAAATGATATGAACTTTTACACAGAATTTCAAATTGAATGGTTTAGGAATGTTTTCTTCAATGGTGCAAAACATAAAAATTATTAAAAACTCAGCTGTCAATTTTTTTAAAAGAACAAAAGTAAAACTCTTTTCATAAGTGGATGTCATAAGCTACAAAGCTTACAAGGGCACTTCACAAAGTTTAAAAACCAGAACAGTTGGAAGCCTTACTACTTAACTTGTAGTAATACTAACTCTCAATACTTGAAGATAGTAACAAGAAAAATAGATTACTTTTTCTTTTTTTTAAAGAACTTATCTAGCTTTGTTTACGCAGAAAAAAAAAAATTAAATTTAACTACATTCAACAGTGCAATTATGTGTTGTGTTAGTTACTGAGTGGATTTAAAAAAGTGAAGAAGACTTCCAGTCAGATGATAAAACGCGAAAGAAAAACCCCAAACCGTTAACGTGAAGAAAATGTGGGTGCTAATATAGGAAATTAAAAAGTTAAGAGTAGGTCGAAACGAAAGCAAAACCAAAAATGGAAAGAAAACGGAAATAAACAATAACTAACAGCAAAAAAAAAGTGAAACGGAAAATATTCTTCTTTTAAAAATTAAATTTAGCAATAAAAAAACTAGACAGAAAGAAAAACGGATGTCAAGAAGCGAGTACTGTAAAATTAACAAATAATTTCAACATCAAAATCGATTAGAGAAGGAAAATTCCCAAATCTTAAAGTTTAAACTGAATATTTGCTTTTTTTGTGGCTCAAGAAAAAATAACACTTCTTATCTTATCAAAGTAGACGTGGAATGAAATAAAAATAACAGTAACACGAACAGGTACGATTAAAAAAATAGAGAAATTATTCTAGTGCTAGTTTAACTTTATGCACAAATATTCTGAGTGACAACATGATGAGTGGGAGTAGGGGAAAAAAAGACAAAAATTTATTGAAAAAAAAAAAAAAACTCTTCTTGGCTGCTTACAAATAATTCGGTAAGACAACCGAATATAATGGTGCGAAAACAATATTCAAGAATCAAGCAAGAATGGTAAAGAACGCAGGAACTAATTATTTTTAGTAACTAGAGAGAAGTGTAGTTTTAATTTTTTACTTAAGATGTAAAAAGATAAACGGTCCCTTCCTTAGCAGTAGCATACTTTCTTCTGAGTTATTGGTAGGTAAATATACCCCATTGTCATTATTACCATTTCTCTCCTTCCCCCTCCCAGGTAAATTTGTCGGCTTCGCCCTTGCTACTTTTCGATTCCGCAACAGACCTCTTCTTTACTCCTTCCTTAATCATTAGCGTAGCTATCTTAATTCAGTCTTTTTTTTTTTTTTACATTTGTTTGTTTCAAGCCTATCATAGTTTCATTTTGGTTGTTTTGTATCCTTAGTTAGTCTTTTCTTTACTTTTTTCTTTTATTCATTATTCGAATATTTCATTTTAGATTTGCTTTGCTTTCATTTGATTTGGAAGTATGTTCCCATCGTCATTAATAAACTAAACGTGCTTCGTTCAAGTTCTGGCCTTTAACAGCTCGACATTTCTTTACTTTTGAGTTTTGACTCGACAAAATTAGTACAAAAATGTTAGGAGAGTGTTGTAGTGGCATTTTAAAAATTATTTATTTTTCGATTTCCAAATATTTACTTTCTTCAATTTTATAAAATTTAAAAATAATAGGAAAATGTATTCGGTAGTTTTTTTTTTTTGGTGTTCGTATGGCCCCATAGGAATTTATTACTTGTTTGAAACTTTCAGCTAAGAAGAATAATGCAAATAATTACAAAAGTCATGAAAAACAAATACACATAAAAAACACATTGCTTGTTTTTGTGAAGTAAGTGTCAGACCGTTACTTCCTGTCATTTGACAGTAAGATAGTCACTAACTAAAAACGAATCTAAATAACATACCTTCGTGTTAAAACTGCCATCCAATACTTGACAGTTCAGTACTTTCTGCTCCATTGAAAATTTAAGTTATATTCTCAATCGAGATAGTGTTGAAAGTTAAGACGTAATAATACTGACCATTTTAACAGACATCATATCAAAAAGAAAGACAGACAACCAAACCAAAAGAGATTTATTTAAAAAAAAATTAAATAAATTCTCAGACCATCTCAACGTTAAAAACTAGGGGATTTACGGGTATAAAAATAAAATTATTGAATGGAGTATGGAATTTCTTAGACAATCGTAATGTGCTTTTAGTTATTATTTTAAATTTTTTTGTTTATTTTATTTTTAAAAGCAGAAAGAAATCTTATGCTTATATTTAAAAACGCTATTTTCTCCTACACTCGTAGAAAAATGTTCTTTGGTCCGTACTGGTGTGGCACTCCAACCAAAGCTCAAGTTAAAGTTTTTCTATTGTCACCTAACAATTTCATCATCATTATTAGTAGTGGTGCATTTTGAATGATAAACTGATGAAGTCTGTAGGAAATGGTCGTAACACCAGTAAGTGACATCAGTTGCCAGTAGCAACAAACGCTTCTTTTTCGGTTGTCGTTAGGTAAATTATATATTTTTTTTATCTTTCATTGGTTCACGGGAAATGTCACTGAAAGTGATTATTACATTTCGGTTTGTCTCATTTTATTTTATTCTTTTTTAAAAGAAATACTAGTTTTCTCGTGACTTGATATTTTTGTCAAATACCCCACGTGTTTGAGGTTCGATTAAATAAATTAAAACTTAAAGGGCAAGTCACACATCATTAAAATTTTTAATAAATGAAGGAACGAAAAGAGAGTAGAGTCGAATGTAAAAAACTCAATTAAAAAATAATCTCCAACATTTTGTTTTTTTCCGCTGACTTTTTCGACAAACAACGAAGATTTGCCATTAATTTTTTTTTTTTATTTTCCATCCTAAATTATTGCGTTATTTTTTTAATTCATTATAAAAAGTCAAAGTTATCCTAATGCCGTATTTTTAAAGAAACTCTTATTGTAAGCAACAAAGAATAAAAGAAGAAAATAGGTCTTTCTTCCCTGTTTTATGTCATCTGTAAGGATGGGATGTTCATTGCAAGAGGTATCTCCTACTGTCTTCAAGGACTTTAAATACGTTTTTTTCTTTGTTTTTAAAAGAAGAAATGGTTATTTTAGCAAATAAATACATAAATAAAGTAAACAAACAAAATAAAATTCTATAATTTGTTGACGTTTGTGCACTTAGAAAACTAGGACCATTCTCAAGAACGATAAAGAAAAATACATCTCTAGAAA